TCTCGACACTATTTGACAAGCCTACACATAGCCCATTTTATACGGTTAATTTCACTCTAACAACTATGGATTCCACTTATTTGAGTTTCGAGTCTGTCCTCTGTCTAGAGGGTAGATTTGATTTGATACAGCATAAGTCCTCCTGCAGGGTGCCCTTCTATCATTTCGAAAAGTTCTGTAGCCTCTAACTTGGAATTTTGACAGGTAACAGTAAATTTAAAAATTAGTATCACGCTATCATGGTTTGTTTTTCCTAGTTTTTGCCGAGTTCTTACCTATCTACTTCAGCTGGACCGGTGAAAGTGGGTAAAATCTTGTGAAAACTATAAAAAGAAGAGCACTGAAAAAATACGTCAACATAATACATAATTACTTTATATTCGTGTTTAGTAAGACTTATTTGGCTGGGCGTAACTGCATGTTTTAGAAATATTTTGATAAAAAAGTTCCGGAAAAAACTACCTTTCTGCACTTTCGTGGGGTGTTCTCGTGGAGAGCAGAGAAAAGTATTGAGATAGAAAGACAAAAGAAATGATAGTCAGTTTCACCGACCCCACAGGTCACACAGGTAAAGTCACTTACCTGTGAGAGCTTTAGCTTTTCTGTCAATGAGATATAAAAAAAATATGATATTTTGGTAAATATATTAAATTCTAAGTAAATGAATAAATTTAAGATATTTAATTTTAATAAATAATTTAAAAAAAATGAACAATAAGCTATCCTCGTTGTTGGGCTATATGTTAACCAAAATACATTAAATAATATAGATCTATCAATAGTATCAATCAAAAGCAGCACTTTAAATTCAGAAATCACCCATGCACTTACACACGATACAATCATCATTATGTGTATACATGACATTTACTTTAATTATTAAACAATACAAATACTTATGCTGAATATCGCTATTTTAAGAATAGTCAAACCAAGCAACAATTGGATATTCACATTACATTTCAAATTTATACTTCCAATAAAAAGTAGTGAAATTCAGCGCTACTGTCCAACAGTAAAGTATCACACATATTTTGTTGAAACTTATCACGAGTTTTACCACGTTTGTGATATAACGACACTTTTCTTTGTTTAATAACCATGGATTATTGAACGATAGCCCAGTCGCGTTAGTGTTTTCCAACATACCAACGCTCTTCCAAAATACACGGTGAACAAGCGAGTCGAGTTTCATTTTCGAATGAGTGTACCAGCATTTAATTTTATATGTATTTGAAGATTTGCTGCTGGAAAAAATCCCACTTAAAACCTGTCAAGCTTCCGCTGAACATTAGGCATAAAGCATGACGTCAGTGTTTATTGTGTATCGTCTGTCGAGCAAATGGCGAATTAATTACGAACCAGTACCTAAAGAAGTGATATGATCACCCTGGAAAAACTGTGTAAAGGAGAGCCTCTAGATAAAAAAACCCGATACGATAGGATCAAAGTGTACAGAATCCTCAACGTGCACGACACAAATTCTATTCGAGTTGGTCAGAGAAAACAGAACAATTGGATTTAATGATGAGTGGAACGTTCTTCCAGAACTAATGCTGGTAAATTCGCCATCCATTATATAATTTTCCAAAAGCAATCTCAACATCATTGACACAGTATTGACAGGAGTGTGTATAGAGAGTGTAAGTAGTTAATTGTATGAATGTATGATTGAGTGTATGAATTGAATACAATAATATATTATCATTAAGATGTGATACATGTCCTATGATTATCGAGTGTAATACTTTTATTTTCAAGAATGATTTAAAATTTACTGTGAAGGTAAATATGAATTGTAAATAAAAAAATGTAATTTATGCAATCGTTTGTTCTAAATGTGGTGATTTTTACATCGGTCAAACCGGTAATGAACTCAGAACACGTATGACTGTACATAGACAACAAACTAGAACTGATTCTTTACGAAATCTTCATGTTAACAAACATATTCATGAATGTGCTGGAGATAAATTTAATGTATTACCTTTGTATCAACTATTTTCATCAGACACTATTTTAAGAGAAACGAAAGAAGACCAACTAATAAAAATATTAAAACCGAGTCTCAACAGGCCACAATAAAATTTTACGCCAAATTGTCCACCAATCTTGTGTACTTCGTGACGTCACGTTACTATTGTAGTGTGATGACATGTAATTGTGACGTCACGACGTTGTTCTCTTTTGAATAAACCTGAAGAGCCCTGTGAAGGGTGAAAGCAGCTAGTTTTTTAGTCGGTCGTTAATTTTATTTTTTCTATGTTTATTTATATATATAATAAAATTTGTTAAAACAAAACAATCTCAATATCCTTTTTGAAAATAATAATGAGTTTAAGTCCGTCCACCCTTCTTCCAGTACCAGTTTGCAGAAAGTAAGTATTATGTATATAAAAGGAAGCACAAAACACACATATGTTTGTCAGATGGACACAGTAGGTGTCTTGCACGTTAGTAAAAATAAAGAAAATAGGAACAATCAAATCTGTCTTAAACTACTAAACAAGGAAATGTACGCAGCGCCTACTAGGAACAGCATACGTAATACACTAGTACTTTAACTAAACAGGTAGTCCAGAGGCTGCCGTACTGAAATAAGGCCGGAAAACAGGTAAACCGGGCAAATATCATACGGACACTTCGACTCTGCCCCAAGCTGAGCACAATTTCAATCTCCCATAGACTTATTAATGTAGACACTTAAGATAAAACACAGCTTGAGGCAGGCTCTTAGTGTTGGTGACAGAAATCTAACACCCTACATTCATTCTTTTGCTTCGATCCTGTCACTTATAATGACTTAAAAAGGTTATCGGCATTTGCAATATGTGTTCTTCCCCTGTAAAGCCAAATGTGATGTAATATTTCCGATTCCTTTTCCGTGGTGACACCACTTAATTCTGTCCTACCCTAGGGTTGATAGGAAAATATTGAACCGGTTAACTAAACACGGTGTCTGTGAATGATGGGGCAAAATTTGATCTTTCTCTTAGAGCAAGTGTGCTCTCAAATACTGCTGTTGTCTTTTTTTCTGTGAACTCATTTTTGGGATCCGATTCTTGTGTTTTGACGTTTTGGGATTTTTCTGTATTTTTTCGTCCCATTTTTCTTATATGCTCATGTACGTATTACTGTATATGGAATAGATCTTTAGATCTGTATCAGAACCCACCTACAATGGCGTTGTTGAGTTTGATATAGGGGCGGATTGGTCAAGTGGTTAACACTCCGACCTTCCACGCAGACGGCCGGGGTTCGATCTTCAGGGAAAGTGGTTTTCTACTGCCCACACAATTCCAACAACCTGGGTGGAATATAAAATGGTCTGAGTTGATGTTGCAGAATCTGTGCTGTAGCATTCAAGTGGATAGCACTATAAATTATACCGGTCTCACTACAAACAGAACACAATTCATCTCCAGCACACACGCAGGCATACAAACGTACATAGGGATATATTAGCCAGGTGGCATAGGACTAGAAGTTAGCGCCTGATAAGACAGCTCCTGCGAATTCCTCAAACTCGTATATGCTAATTGCATTGATTGTATAAATTGTATATCTGTGTACTGTAAAACACAGCTTGGGACAGGCTCTTAGTGTTGGTGATTTGCTACATAGTGATATAAGAAATCTAACACCCTCGAGGGGGAATTCATAATTTCATTGCTTAAAGCCGATTAGAAGCTTTAGAGTGGCTGATTTTAGCTAGATAGGGAGTAGCTGCGATAACGTAGCTTTCTGACGACGAGATTTTTTTTTATATATGGCCGGGTATTAATATTAGTACTAGATAGGACGCTATATCAAATGTTGTATATTATTATCATTATAAGAACCCATCTTCAATGGCGTTGCTGTGTTCAATATCACATTCTAAAGGGATGATGAAAGACGGAAAATGCCTTTCCGTTAAATTATTTTCATTGTAAACTATACCATTGGTAACCTAATATTTTCAATCCTCGAATATCCAGGGGTTACGCTCGCGCGGCAGCCTAACGGTAACATTTACATCTTTAGCGGGGAAGTTACTGCCTGGCGATTGATAACAGGTTTACACGAAACCACTAGCTGCGTGCCTTCGATTTTGTCATGGCAAATTCCTTAGTTACAAGGAAAGTAAGTTAGCGTGACCCTGGAATGTTAATGTCCCTGCAGGTAGGGCGTAAGAATTGTACCTGCTGCCCCCATTGCATGATTGTAAGAGGCGACTAAATTTGGGATCTTATCTTCTTCCTAATGTCTCCCTTGACAATGCCTCACTTTTGGCCTTAAGTTGAGCGTTCGCCCATGTGAGGAAGGCTTTGGGTTCTGTCCCCTGGTCCAGACATATCAGTCTGTAAAAATGGTAGTTTCTACCTCTGCTTAACGCTCAGCAATTTCGGATTGGGACGACTGGTTCGCCCGTTGTCAGTATAATGTGACCGGCAGTATGTTTCAGTGAGGTAGCACTATAAAGTCGGCATTAGTTCCGCGCTATCACAAGGAGACAAACACAAACATATTGCAGCCTCCCAAAACATTACCATGCATCTTGCACACAGGGGAGGCTGTCCTTAAATGACCATAGCTGTTGATAGGACGTTAAACAATACTAAAACAAACTAAACCCTGGAATTTTGAGCATGAAAACAAATGCCTTGCATAGTTTTATTCGTCATTTACGGTATCGTAAGGACAGGTCACATTATTTAAAACGTCACACAACACTGCGAGCCTTTAGTGAAGTTTTGGTCGCCATCAAGATCTCCTAGGGAAATATGCTATGTGTGCATATGATGGTTGTTTTGATACCGCTCATTGAGTGCCTTGTGGTTCTGTTGTCACTACACGAATTCATATAGTTGGTCCTAGTTTGAAGACGTATTTATAATGAAAGAATCGTTATAGACCCTGGAATAGGTAGTAAATGAACTTGTATCAAATTACATATGAACACCCGAGTTCCATCATAGTGATGTCGGGTGTATAAAACACAAGTCATGACAGCTATGATAATGTTTTTGTTTTTTTATTTTACTTCTCAAAACTTGTGCACAGTACAAATAATTCGAAACAAATCCCAAGGAAACCAGAATAATGACTTAAAATTCATGATCTTTGAATTGTCTTTTTCTTTTCGATAGCAAGTTTTATACAAATACAATAAAACGCATGTCTTTTTCTACATTTCTATAAAACTTGTCTGTAAAATACTGACCGTCTATGAAATAAACAAACCAAATCAATGAAAAAAATTGTTTTCGAAGTTTTGATAAAGGTATTTTCATGATATTCTAAGATTCATAATATATATAAATGTGCAATTATTATTACTTTCAGTTTACAATTATCAATAAATTTTACTTAAACAGCACATTATCTGTCCTTTAACATGGGTTGTTTTCAAGCTGAAGAATAGTTACTTTAACTCAATCACCCCTGAAATTTTATAATGAACTATTCCAGCCGTTGAATTGGAAGAGTTCAAATGTGTCTAGCAAACACCCTCGGATGTTACACATTTATAATTTTATATATCACAGAAAATTCCGTGCAAATTTGCATGAATCATTGACCATGAATTCAAATGAAAACATTTTTTTTTTTTTTTACATCAGGGAGAAATGTGAATCAAGTCCTGCTGTACAAAAACGTAAATATCTTTTCTTAAAATGAAGTATTATATACCTACCACAACGTATCTAGAGTACTTCCAATCCTCCCCCAAAACTACTGTTTGACAAGTACATATTTACATTTTGTGTGTATGATTTAATACAGTAAAATGAACCACAAATAGAAACCATATGATTTACAAACACTGACATCAATGAACTGTATTTACAATACAAAGAGATATACAACTCAGGACTTGTCATGCTTCAGGAAATCTTTGCGTGATTTTTTGTTTTTTTTGAAGAATTACATCAATCATTTAAACCTAGCATTGCCTTGTAAAAGCTGCCAAGTTAAATGGTTTCAACTGTAGTGTACTGTTTCCAAGGATGAGGACAACAAACGAACATTCTTTAAATCATTCAGACCAGACACACAGGGCTCCTGATTTCGCTTCTAAAAATGACATTCAAACTGCATTTTCACTTATTTTCTTGCATAATTCATACACAATATATAGCAAACCAACAAAACTATGTATTTACATTCACCAATTGTTCTGGCATGAATAAATTACATATATTTCAATAAGAATTGTTATTTTGTTTTTAAAAACATCAAAAAATTGGAAAACACTACACCAAACATCATATGGCTTCACACTTTCCTATTGCTTCAGATGTGACTTCCTTTACAGTGAATAACAATTAAAATTTCACTTAACATATGAAAAATCGCTGCCTTTTACAACACATTTATACAACGCAGCAGCCGTGCTGTAGCTTCAATGGTAATCCACAACATAAATATCAAACTTGAAAATACATTGACAAAATACAATGCATGGCATCTAACAATTTCCATTGACTCTGAGAATACTGGACAAGATTTTAGGTGATACTTTTCTCAATGTCTAGTATATTTGGACAAATCACACGAAAAAGATGAATGGCTATCCTTAGCAAGGAAATGCTGACTTTATACATGGCAAAAAAAAAAGAAGATTTGTCATTGTCCAGGACAAGTAAAAACATTCTTTATGCAATTTAAAACTGGTAAAATACTTATAACTTTACATTAGAGTAATCCACTGTAATTATGTCTCTTGGGAGTTACCTGAAAATGATATACGATATAAAACCTGTAGCAGAGGGTCCCCCCCCCCCAAGAAATGAAATTGCACCAACATCATTGTCAATATGAGACATGATCTAAATCAAAATGAAATGACATGAAAATGATGCACTTGAATTGTGAGTTACAATTGTGATTATGACCTATAAATATATATCTTACAAATCATTGACACGTAAATATTATTTTTAAGTTTGTCTCTTCACCAACAGATTACTTTTTCTCCAATCATTAATTTGTTTTTCCTTGTTCAGCTCTTATTTACAATGTTTCAACAAGTCCTTTTCTTTTTCAGCTGGTATTTACAATATTGTTTCATGACTTCAATTCTTCTGTCTATTTCATGCAGTTTCTCTTCAGGTTTTCTTTAATAACAAGCCTGCCTGTTTCACAAGCGACATAGACTAACGCACATGTCCACAGTTTCACAAGTCCTTGATTTGTGACCTAGTCCTCGTCGCTATCATCAGCTGCCGAGTATGCTGGGCTAGTCGGGGAGTACTTGGGCGTTGTTGAAGTGGTTGTCCCTGGTGTGTAGGTAGGGCTAGTAGGCGTGTACTTGGGGCTGCTTGGGGAGTATGTAGGACTAGCTGGGGAGTATTTGGGGCTTGTTGGGGAATACGAGGGACTAGCGGGAGAGTAGCCAGGGCTCGTTGGGGACAGAGATGAGAACCCAGGGCTGTAGTTGGGCGAACTTGGGCTATACTCTGGTGATGTAGGGGTGTACTTGGGGGAGGTTGGGGAATAAGTGGGTGATGTTGGGCTGTACTTGGGGCTACTAGGCGAATACGATGGACTTGTGGGGGAGTAATTTGGAGACGAGGGCGAGTACTGTGGAGAGCTTGGCGAGTACTGGGGGGAACTTGGGGAGTATGATGGACTGGTTGGAGAATAAGAGGGACTTGTGGGGCTGTATTTGGGGCTGCTTGGGGAATAGCTTGGACTACTCGGACTGTAGCTTGGGCTTGAGGGAGAGTAGCTAGGAGAACTGGGGCTATATGAGGGGCTGGTTGGGGAATAGGATGGGCTGGTTGGGGAGTAGGAGGGCGAGGTTGGGGAGTAACTAGGAGAGGTGGGGGAATAACTTGGCGAAGTTGGGGAATAACTAGGAGATGTGGGGCTGTAGCTAGGGCTAGTTGGGGAGTAAGAAGGACTAGTTGGAGAGTAAGATGGTGATGTGGGGGAATAGGAGGGACTTGTAGGCGAGTAAGAGGGGCTGGTAGGACTGTAGGATGGGGACGTTGGACTGTAGGAAGGACTGGTTGGTGAATAGGAAGGGGAGGTTGGGGAGTACGAAGGACTAGTTGGGCTATAGGAGGGACTTGTTGGCGAGTAGGAGGGGCTGGTTGGGGAGTAGGACGGGGAAGTTGGGCTGTAGGAGGGGGAGGTTGGGGAGTAGGAAGGACTTGTTGGACTGTAGTTCGGCGAGGTTGGCGAGTAACCTGGGCTTGTAGGCGAATAGGAAGGACTTGTTGGGGAGTATCCAGGACTTTGTGGTGTGACAGCTGGAGAAGATGGCACATACGCTGGTGATGCAGGCGAGTAGCTTGGTGACAGGGCCCCAGCTGGACTTGGTATGTATGGGCTGGCTGGCGATCCAGGCGAGCCTGGTTGAGGGGACCATGCAGGACTGTATCCTGGGCTGTAACCACTCTCACTAGCACCAGAGGGAGAAAACCCGGCAGCTCCAGGTGTCATACCACTACCAAACCCTGGTGACCAAGCAGTGCCGTATGCTGGAGTGGCACCTTGTTGCCATGGGGTCATCTGTGGAGACATACCGGCCGCCGGACTGCTTCCTCCACCAAAGAAGAACCCAGTGCCAGCTGAAAGTAACAAAGTGAAATGTTGTCACAAAACAATATCAAGTTCATCATATTTCAGCAAGAATGTGAATGATTCTGTAAATGTTTTAAACCTGAATTTGTTCCTTTTCTTTTCTCATCAGGTGTGTAAGATTGTTTTCGGATTCCCCTTGCATCATTTGACTTAAACAGTGCAGACTGAATACTGTGTTGTTTTTCAATTTAGTTGAAGAGTTCAGTTTAGTTTCAATAAATGCAAAAACAGTAGATGGTAATGTCCCTATACAAAAATTGCTTATAATCTACGATTTGACACCTGAAGATCAGGTCTGGCTCACACTTGGAATGTTACAACTCTTGATTTAAATCATAACAGCATTTCTTAAATCATCTTTTGTATGACATCTCTCACAACATCCAGCATCAAACATCTTATTGCAGTGTAAGGGCAGATCACTCGGGACACATAAAATGGACGATCCAATAACTATTCCTGATTATCTTTACTGAATCAAACTTGGGCATCGTATAAAGTCATGTAAATGTTTAAGTTTTATGCTATATTTCTGATCGCAATTTCTTGTGTATTTACAGTAAAAAAACTTGCTGCAATTAGGCTCCAGATGTGAGGAATAATAATTTGGGTATCTTGTGTTTTAATCATGAATTGCTTTTGCTAAATAATCTGCACGGTTATTGCTAGCAATGTTACAAGCACACAGCTATTTTAGATTTTTTTCTTGTTCAAAGACATTTCTTGTTAACATAGATGGGAACTCTGCTGCTTGTTCCTTTTCCAAAGATATTTCATGTTAGGATTTAATATGTAGTTTTCGAAGCATGTGCTTAGGGCGAGTTTCCTTAATTTTCAAATTAGCTCAGAGGACATTTTTTTAGACTGATATATGGTATGTCTTACCTCCTCCTCCTAAGCCTGGGCCAACATTCTGAGGTATCTCCATGCCAAATTTACACTTCTCTGCATCAAGGAGAAGATCGAAGCTTCCAGTCCCAATCTTGGCCAACTGTCCCAACATGATACATTCAGACACACCCTTCATGGGATCACATTCTCCATGGGCCGCCGCCTCCATGAGAATGTCCACCTATGAAAACACCACATAGATGACGTTTAAGTTTGATTCAAACTCTCTGTTGTGTTCCTGTTACAGGGGGATTGTTTGTTGACTTATTGACTAAAGTAGTTAAGCTCCCACTGGAACTGGAACTTTTAAATTACTTAATAATCTTCACAACCAAGTACTGAGGGATGCAAACTTGCAAAATAATTAAGCAATGTTGTTATGGTCCTATAACACACATTGATATTGATGACAAACTTAATAATTTGACAGTAGAAATTTGTGTTATATTTGCTAAAATATTCATTATTTATATTTACACTTTGACAGAGTAATTACACGTTATTTAGTTATTTTTGAACAGTTGTTTGAACAGCAAATAAGGTGTTGACAACAATGAAATTGATGACGTCACTATAGAAATTGATGACCTTAATATAGCAAACATTGTTCGTCTCATAATAACATTTGCCTTCTCAATGAATTGCAATGGAAGGACGCAGAGCAAATGTAAATATAGAATGATAAAGCTTTTCAGTTCGTTCTGAAAAATATTGAAACCAACTTTCACTGTGAAATTCCAGAACGAGATCAAAATGGCTTTAACTCATTCACCCCTAACATTTCATAATGAACTATTCCAACCTTTGAATTAGAAGAGCTCAAATGTGTCTTTAGGGGTGAATGAGTTAAAAGAAGACAACCTTCTGCAAGAAGATAAAGAAATTTGCAGAAAAAATGTTTCCAGTAACTTACTGTTTCTTCAAAGGAGCAGCGAGCCAATGCTCCCGTCTCCTGTCTGTTGATGCCGTGACGGGTGATAGCCATCAAGTGACCTTTGGCAGTCATCACATCGCACAACAAGGCCAAGTGACGGTAGTTGACATAGGATCCGTCAAAAGAAATGACATGGTTCATCTCTTTCTCAATTGACTTTCTCACTGCCTCGATGCCAAGTGTCTGGGGAAAAAAATTGATAATAATTAATGTACTATCATACACAGGAATTTGTTCCACAAAGAGTTACATTAACAGAACCTTATAGCCATACTGTAATGTTATTGCACTGTTGATAACTTGTGTTTCATATGTGAAAGAACTTTTTTAGGAGTAGATTCATGAGAGGAATTGAATGTAAATTCATATCTTAAGCAAAATTAATCAGACAGTTTATATCAAACATGTTTAAAATGATGTATAGTAAAAAATGATGAATTGCCCTCACCTTATATGCAATGTCACTTACTGCAAACATATTTCAACACCTCTTTTTATTTTTGGAGTTTCTTATATTTTCTCACAAATTCCCTTTAAAATGCTGATATTTCACTGGACAAATGGAGATAGTATGCTACAGTTTTGCTATATGTAGATCTGTGTTTTTTTGCAAATTCAAGCACATGCAAATAGAAAATAAGCATATCACTTCCTTCCACAAAAACGTGGCTGGACTTCAAATTTTATAAGCAATACACAATATACAGAAACTATAACATACAGCAAAGACTTCGACAATGTCGTTACTGGTTGTTCGGATCGGATCAACATCCCGCTGACTGAGCACTTTCATCAGTGCTGTTCCATCTGTTTCCAGGATCCATTCTGCGACACCTTTAAACTCTCCCTCCTCTGTGAGGTATATTCTCTTCTTGTCATCCGTGTTGGGGAGATGCATATACACCTACAGCAGAAATATTGACAGTCATTGGCAAAGGTTGTGGTTCATCAAATATCTAACATGAGAAACATTACACGAGAGACTTACAAACCTAAGTGTGAAACTAACAGACAGGGAAATGTAGGATTACCCAAACCTCTCCAAAAACAGGAAATATATTGGGGAAGTTTTTAAAAGAAAGCAAAACATAACATATTTACCAGGTTTTCAATCATTTTTTAAATTATTTTTTTAGACAAAAAATCTTTCATTAAAAGAATGAAGAAATTATTTTAAAGCAATTGTTGATTGTATACCTTAGCAATGGCCTCAATTCCTTGTAAGGTCATGTCAGACAGCAGGTTGGACTCGATACATCGGAGGAAAACATCATCTTCCATCTTGTCCACGATTTCCTCATCCTACAAGGTCGAAGCAAGATCTTACCACACAGTCTTACAAAAAACTTCCAAAATCAGATAAAAAAAGTTGCAATTCTGAACTGACATTCTATAATAATTTTAAATCTTTAAGAAATGATTTTAATCATTTTCAAACTTGCAAGTAGAAATGCACTATGCTTCATTCAGTGAAAGTTCGAAATTCATTTTCTATATTTCTAATCTATTAAAACAAGTCAAATCTCTTCCTTTTGTCAGAGCCGAACATCTGGTATGAGATTAGCTATGCCACTTGCAAAACATATTCCGCCTTTCTTTTCACTTACACTTTGCATTTTGCTTTCATCTGAATTCATGATTCGAATTCGTAGCACCAATTTCTCTGCATTGTCGTCATTGAAGATGCAGTTAAGATCATCTCCAAAACCTGTAAATTCAATGATCCAAATTTTATAACAACTTTTTTTATCTTAAAAGCAAAAACTTGTATTTTATTTTTAGATAAAATGCAATTGGCTTATTGCAATTTAACTTTGTACACATATAAAGTAGATTTGATAGTCAATTAATTATATTTTTTTGATCTTTGATGAATACTTGAAAGCTTTCAATCTTGAACAGGTGTAAATGAAGATTCACCTGCAGTGATTTTTTCTGAAATTTGCTCCATGGTAAGCTTTTTGTCAGTCATCCTCTTTCTGTCCAGTTCTATTCGGAGCAGCCAGGGTGAAATCCTGGACACATCAAAGTCCGGCATTTCATAGTACACATTGACCCATTCCTGGTCCTCGGATATGACTGTGTTCTGTGGGTTCGGGTCGTAATAAATGGCCGTGTTAGCTGTGACCTTTCTCAAAGTCGTGTGTTCCAGCCTACACAGTACATCCTGTATAACAGACAAATTAGTTACTTGCTGTCAAAATATAATTACATATGTATAACAAGAGTTTATTTATTCAGATATATATACCATTGCTAAGCTATGCCACTAAATCTGTTAAAGTTAATTTTGAGTCGAGACCATAACTGATGTGATTACAACTGATTACAATTGTGACATACGAATCATAACACAGGGACACTGTTGGATGATACTGGCTGTTTCCCTAAAGAGGAGGGGAGAAGGACAGGGGCTCTTTCAACCCTATATATATATTGGCTGTTTCCCTAAAGAGGAGGAGAGAAGGACAGGGGCTCTTTCAACCCTATATATATATTGGCTGTTTCCCTAAAGAGGAGAAGGACAGGGGCTCTTTCACCCCTATATATATATCGTCTGTTTCCCTAAAGAGGAGGAGAGAAGGACAGGGGCTCTTTCAACCCTATATATATATCGGCTGTTTCCCTAAAGAGGAGGGGAGAAGGGACAGGGGCTCTTTCAACCCTATATATATCGGCTGTTTCCCTAAAGAGGAGAAGGACAGGTGCTCTTTCACCCCTATATATATAGGCTGTTTCCCTAAAGAGGAGAAGGACAGGGGCTCTTTCACCCCTATATATATATCGTCTGTTTCCCTAAAGAGGAGGGGAGAAGGACAGGGGCTCTTTCAACCCTATATATATACTGGCTGTTTCCCTAAAGAGGAGAAGGACAGGGGCTCTTTCAACCCTATATTTATACTGTATGCAATTTCTATTCAACATTCATCAATTCATTATTACAAATCATGAATGTCATTTAAGTTTCAAAATCAATGAAAAATGTAAATTAGTAAACTGCATATTGTTCATCATTGTAGTCCTATAGCACTGACCAGGATTGCATTATTTATCTGCAATGCGGTTAAGAATTATAGGACTACAAGCTGTAAGCAAACGTAGTTTTATAGTCGATTATATCCGACAGAGTGAGGCCTTTCTCGAGTATAACCTATGAGATTTATTCTGTTATTGCATGCCTGCCTTGATATCACAATAAAAATATGTATAATATGTGTGCCATCATTTGGCAACAACAGCACTGGATGTCATATTTTTCTGCTAGTATGAGTAGTGCAATACAATTTATTTTGTCTTTACAACTGTCTTTGAACAAGTATCAACAGTCTCATTTTTACAGACAATAAAGTGATAATTGCTTTTGGTCAATTATCAGAGTGATCTAGTAAAAGATACCAAAGCGCAATAATGAGCCATAGTTCCAATGAAATGATTATATCATGCCATCTCAATTAAACAAACCTTGGCCTTTTCTGCATCTCTTGCTCCCTGGCCAGTCAAGTACACAGTAAGGGAAGGAGTCTTTGGTTTCTTAGAGATGTTGATGATCTCCTTGAGACGAGGCACACCTAGAGTTACATTCTTGGCAGATACTCCAGCGTAATGGAAAGTGTTGAGTGTCATCTGTGTGGCAGGTTCTCCGAGCGACTGGGCAGCCAACGCTCCGACCATCTCTCCTGGTTGTACCTAGGGCAACAGAGTATGTAGATATGAATCTCTGATGTAAGTACACGGGAGGTTTCTAACCTTCTCTTGATCAGATAGTGCAGCGAATACAAATCTCTTAAAAGATGAGACCAGAAAGAACCACTATAAATGATCTGATGACAAAAGATGATGTCAGACACTGGCTTCAAGAAAGCAAGAAAAGAAAAGCAAACTCTGCTACAATGATATGGCATTGTAAACAGAGGAACATATTGATGATATTTCTGGCATTGCTAAGTTGCTTCTCCTGAAAATAAAGGGAGCCGTCCTGCACTGTTTCATCTGCAGAACGCTTTTAAAAACAAAGCAACCCTTTCATTATCATCAAAAGCAGTATGGCAATACCATGAATAATCAGAATGTTATAAAATGTCAGAAAATTAAATAAACTTTGGTCAATTATATTCATATTTTCTCATTGATTCATTTTACTACGTTCAGAAGTCCAGTCAATTCACCATCCCGCCACTTTTGGCTGGAAAGTAGAGACACTATGGTACATTCAAATATAAACATATATGAAAACAGCAATTGAGAATAAGATACATACATGAGCCTGTTGAAAGCGCGTCTCGATTTCACCAAGCAGCCACTCAAATGCCTCAGAGCTAAGTCTGAACTCTTCTGTCACTCGCTTGGCACATAGGGTGGACCGCACCAGACACTTGATCAGAATGGTGGCATTGTAATTGGCCTGCACACTGAGTCTGTCAGGTCCAGGAACAGTGTTCAACCGTTTGCACAAGTCAGCGACACCTATTACACAAAAAACAGTGCACCTGATGTAGATTTGATTTAAGCTGCTACGATATTATATAAACGTCAATGTAAAAGTGCAGCTTGATGCAATTTCCTGTAAAATTAAGATAAAAACCAACAGAGTACAGGGGTTCCAAAAATTTCACACATATAACAATACAAGGGTTATCATGGTTTCACAATGGTAATTTTACTGATTGTTTGGACAATTTTTACAGGACATATTAGCTGAATTCTTCAGGTGACTAGGGCTGTTTTCGTTTAAACAGTTGAACCGGTCAGACCACAGTTGTTCGTTTATTGAATAAGGTCAGACCTAGTAATCTGATGCTGCTTTCAGACGTGTTTTGACAAAGTCTTAAAAGGCCTGCATGAACACTTGCAGGTCTGCCAGGATTTATACCTGAAATTGTTACATTTTAAAACGGACAAACCGGTTGTTCCGCATAAACGAACAGGCCCTATGTAATCACCTGGACATGAAGGACAGAAATGTTACAGGGTTTACTTGATGACTTAAAAGTGAAAGCAACATAGATAAATTCAGTCATGCCGAGATAACACAGATACCAAACTCTAGATAAATTCAGTCATGCCAAGATAAAACAGATACCAAACTATAGATAAATTCAGTCATGTCGACATAAAATAGATACCAAATTTATTTGAAACTAAAATGGTAAAATCATGTAATGTGTATAGGCGAGACAATATCATTCTGCGACCGGCAAAAAGATAAATTCAAACCTAACTCTGTGTATAGGTATTAATACAAACCTGTCACAATTTTGACTGGATGGAGTTCTGTAGGTTTACGCTTGTTGATCCTGAAGATTTTCTGTGCATTCCAGATGAGTCTTGTTAGATTACAGGGCAGGACCACCTTGCTGTCACCCATGGGGAAGATCTTTCGCAGCACATCACGATCTTCTTTCAACTGATCCCATTCCTTCTCCAGCTCAGATATGGCAGAGGCATCACCAATTAGCTCCTTAATGATGTCCTCCGTCAGACACTTCCGCATGTTTCTACAATGAACCCAACGTATATAAATGCTGGGCTGAACCAATACCATCCATGTGTGGCTTAAGAAAAGAAAGACGACCTTTGTTTGCATACTCAGAGGATGGTATTTAATCTCTAGAATATCTTCCTATGTTTAAACCTTGGCTAAAAATCCGAAACCAATGAGAGAAGAATTATTTTCTTATATATATATACCAAGTTAAGAACACTGCTGTCATTTACAACAGGCCATCCTTGAAATGTTACTTTTTGCTTGTTGCGTTCTTTGGCTTCAGTTTTTTCTCTCAACACTTTAATGGTGTGAAATTGGTGTGACAGTATGAACAACTGTGCATTAGAGGTATCAGAAAGTCAGTGCATCAGAGAAAAGTTTTTTTCCCCCTTAGAAATACTCGATAGAGCAACATTCTATCAATTTTGTAATTACTTATATCAACTTGTAAAAGTGTTGGTTTTTGACCTGCGCTCCTTTCAAAATATATGCACTCACGACTAAAAAGTACATGAGTCATACATTTGATGATAACACGTGTTCTGTGGCCTGAAGAGTGAAGTATTTCAAGTCACATAATCTCTATAAAACATCCACACATATCATGTCTTAAAAACCCTGACACACAGTACCTCGTCTGCAAAAAAAGGAAAATGAAAAGACATGGGAGAAAATGTAAGGGATCTTAAAGTCAAGATACACTTTCCCCCAATCTCTTTTTTGTTTCAGTCAAAAAGACGTAAATATTACCTCTCATTTGAAGCATCAAACTTGAACTTTTTCTCGAAGGATTTGTGTGAAGGTTTGAGTGTTGGGAGCGCCTGGAACTCGACCCCACATCCGTCAAGTCCGTCCTCCCCATACGTCAACTGGACCAGCTGTTCAACCTGGTTTCTGATTGTACCATCGTACTTGACCATCACACTCTCCATAGCCTTGATCAGACGTCGCTGAATGTACCCTTCATGTAAAAGCATGACATGTCATTTATTTATTCCAATACCAATCTTTATGATTTTAAATGACAAACTTTTTAATCTGACATTTTTTATTTATTTATTGAAGAATGAATAGAAGGATGCGTCTTCAGAGATTTGAAGATATCTTGCAATTGTGAAAGACTTTGAACATTGCGTTGTAAAATATATTTATCTCCCTAAATAGGAGTAATATCAGCATAGGTGGTGGCCTAAACTTCTCAAAGGGAAATGTATAGCCATTTTCCCAATGATCATATTTCTACAGGAATTACTGTTCAAGGTTCATTTACTCCTATAACCATCTTTAACAGTTAAATGTCAATGTCTAAAACCAATTTGATTCCTTTCCTAATGTCTAAAACCAGTTTGATAATTTTCCTGAAGAAGTCTTCCTAGATCAGTTCAAGTTTTTATCTTTAAAATTGTAATCTTTCACAAATTGTGTATGTACCAGTCTCAGCAGTTTTCACAGCAGTATCAATAAGTCCTTCTCGACCTCCCATGGCGTGGAAATAGAACTCAGATGGCGTCAGACCAGCAAGATAGGAATTCTCCACGAACCCTCTTGACTCAGGACCATAATCATCTTTGATGAAATGAGGCAGTGTTCGATGTCGAAAACCAAACGGGATACGTTTACCTTCAACGTTCTGTTGCCCCACACAGGCAATGACCTAAGATAACAAGACAAGAAATTTAAATCCTCGGCAAAGATGCTTCATTTAATAAAGATTCAACACCTTGATTAACTTAAATATAACCTCTCATTCTTTTTATCCCTAAAGATGGTTTGAAACTATTTGAGATCATGTCATTACCCCAGTATAGACCTGAATTACCTTACACTGGTAAGCCTTGGGTAAGTTATGGGATAGCAAAATATCATTGCATACACGTTGAGAATACTGTGAAAAATGACAGGTTTGTTGACTCACCTGTTATTATAAAGCATCTTTTCACAGAACTTTTGCTTTGCTCAGAAAAAAAGTGTGAACTGTTACCTGGGAGATGTTAATCTTGGACCCCTTGGATCCTGCCACCACCATAGCTTTGAAGTTGTTGAAATCTGATAAGGACTTCTGGGCTTTTCCTCCAGTTTTGTCACGAGCATCGTTCAAGATACGATTCACCTGAGTAGAAATATTCAACAATTCAACAACATTGTTTAGAATGAGATCCACCACATAAGTAAATATTATAGCAATTGTTGCGAGTTTATTTCAAAACCTCGTCAATCTTCCAAAATTTTTAATTTGAAATGTTGAAATAGATTGATACAACAGTTTCCTAAAAAACCTGATAAACATGTTTTTTAATAGCTATTTCCTACATATACATTTTGTGCAACAATATTTTTAAATGCTTTATTAAAAGTTATTTTGAAATGGCCCAGGCCATCAGCAAAGATTTCTTCCTACCTGGTTTTCAAAAGTCTGACGCAGCGTGTTTCCTGGGGTTGGTTCCAAATCATCATTGTGAGCCTTCTCAATGACGTCTATCACGTCCACCTAGAGAACAAATTAAATCTTCTCAGTTAACAATTGGAGGAATTTTTTTAAATCAAAATTCATATCAATACCAAGTCTATTTACTAGGATGAGAAATAGTGAAAGTCTGCAATTTTTTAGAATAAATAAAAGAGATTCCTTTCTATAAAACAAGATACAGCTACAACAAGAGGGCCTTAATAGCTCACCTGGTATTTTATTTTTTAATTTAAAACCTGCTGAGTACCATACAGGTTTACAAGAAACAAAGTTTTAAGAAAAACTACATGTAAATCTGTTTTGGTTGGTAAGACACCAAGAAAATGAGCCTCACATGCACCTTTTTACACAAATTAAACAAATTAAGTTTTTCCCCCTAAGCATGCTTCAGACCACATTTCGTTTAAACCCTTGATTTGTACGGAAAGGAAAATAAACGGGCACATCCTCCATTTATAGATATTAAATTCCTTTTGCTCAAAGATGCTCTAGAACAAGTTTGGTTAAAATCCCTTCATCGGTACAGAAGGAGAAGGATCTTAATGTTTTCCTCTATTTCCCCTAATGGGCCCCACCCGTCTGCCACAAAGAAGTGGGCCTACACCTCAGTTTATACAAAATTGATTCTTTTGTCCTTAAGAATGCTTCAGACTGCATTTGGTTTAAATCCCTTCACTTGTATAGTAGGAGAAAAAAAGTCCTCTATTTCCCCTATTGGGCCCGCCCCTCTGACCCCAGAGGGGCCACACCCTCTGTTTATACAAACTTAAGGCTCCTTTGTCCAAAGATGCTCTAGAACAAAATTGGTCAAANACTGTTTATACAAAATTAAGGCTCCTTTGTCCAAAGATGCTCTAGAACAAAATTGGTCAAAATCCTTCTTATTGGTTGAGAAGAAGATTTTTAAAGATTAACCTATTTTCCCCCTATTTGGCCATACCCTCTGTTCAATGATGCTCTAGACCAAATTTAGTCAGAATACTCTGAGCCGTTCAGGACTAGTAGCGTTTTAAAGGAAAAAGTTGACGGACCCCGGACGCTGTGCCATGGCATAAGCTCACTTGGCCCTTTGGGCCAGGTGAGCTAAAAACAATGATATTAACTTTTAATTTAACCTTAAACAGTCAAATTCTCTTGCATTGTCTAGACATAAATTAAATGATGCCTTTTTAGGTTTTTTATTCAATTTCTTATTTTTTTTAAAATGTGGTGGGGGTGGGTGGATCAGGTGTCATCCCTAGTCTGGTTTACCTTCGCTTTCTTGATGGTGTCCTGGATGTCTATATAGGTCTGAGGGTCAGCAATTGTGTCTCCAATACCGATACTGTGTCCCTCCAGTAGAAGCCAGTTGTTAATTACTGTCTGAATGTGACCGTACATAAGTCCTGCTATCTCGTACCCCATCTCCATAAATACAACGTGAGGTAGGGAGCCGCTGGATGTACCCAGGGTCTTCTTACATAGGATCCCACTGATCAGCACGCCATCCTCAATCAACACCTTATAACACAAAATCCTACTCCGTCAACACAAAATTATCATCAATCCTGATCTATTGTTCAAAGATCACTCTCAACACAAAATCCTCCTCAATCAACACCTTTTAACACAAAATCATCCTCATTCAACACAAAACCATCACCAGTTAACATAAATTCACCTCTATCAAAGCCTATTGAAACAATTGAAATGTAAGACACTTTACAGAAGTTTTAAAAATATATAAGTAATTTTTTTGTTGTTCTGTCTATAAAATTAGAGGTACAATGTCGAGAACACTTCTATGGAAAAAATAGACTGAAATTCAGAATATTATTGGATTACCAAAGTTGGTATTCATGGACAACAACTGTGATATACTTGGTATGTAACACAGTCCATAGCAATTTCCATACAAAACCAAAGTGCCGAGGACACTCAGGGATGCTGTGTATGAAGGATTCAAATAAAGGAATAAAGGAGGTGGTATATCAGTACAGAATGGCAGTTAATAATAAAGAACATGTTGTTGAGTAAGGGCCATAATAATCCCTTTATCATATTTTCGATGTTCAATATGCTATTAATATATACTCACGAAGCACTTGTATTATACTTATCGGGCCATTATATAGAGACTGTATTGGGAAGCTATCTACAAACTTGTGAGGCACAGCTGCTGTTGCATTGGGAAGCTATCTATAAACTCGTTAGGCACAGCTGCTGACGGCTACTTTAGTACAAGTCAAGATTCTCTTTCACTTGGAGATTTTCCATTGAGACTAAGAAAACATGAGCCCTACTTTATCAAGGACTGTTATCAAACAGTCGTTCAACAAGTCGCGAGCATGAAACTACGCAATGACGGACAAGGGGAGAAAACTCTCACACACACACACACTTTAGAGTTTTGGAATACGAGGCGTAGTAATTTGAACTAAATATAGTTCGGAACTTTCACTGATCAAAAACGCCACTCGCCACTATTAAAGATCTTTACATATTTTCTTTGATTTTTTTTGTCTTATACAGATATATTTTACCATGTTAGCTTTGATCATATCATGAAATAATAAACACAATATCTAAAATTCTTTCGCGGAAGGAGATAAAGTGTTGTTTTTTGTGTGAAGAAATTATTTGGTCCAAAAAGCGTAGTAATCTGAGATTGATATAGTTCATGATGCTCACTGAAAAAACTCGCCTTTTCGTAAAAAAAAAATTAAATTAAAAAAAAAAATCTTTGTTTATTGATCATTTTCATATGTATTTCATCATTTTATAGCATTAATCATACCATGAAATAATCAACACAGCAAGAAGAAAGTCTTTTTGATTGATTTTGATTTGCCCAGGCCTGGCAAGGACCACAATGAATGGTGTACACAGCATCCAAAAACAGGAAAGTGATTCATAGTATCTCAAAAGACACATCAATGAAAGGCTACATTTTTTACTATTCTTCAAATAACTATTTTCTTTTGCAAAAACTGGTGAACTTAACTTTTTTCAACTAGTATATCTATGATCATGTTTACCCCACAAGTGAATCAAAACAAGTGACAAACTTGCAAAAAACTTGTCTCTCATAGTTTATGGCTAACCAAATTAGTTACTGACCCCAGGTTTAAAAAGGCAAGCACATAAATAGCTGAATACTGCAATCTTGCTAGGTGCAGAGTCTCTGCCATTATTGATACCTTTGTGTCTCCAGGGGAAATCCATTTGTATGGGCCAGAGTCCTCCTCATCAGGATGTGTACTGTGGGTCCTGATACAGTTCACACGGCCAGGGATGATTAAGGAGAATAGCTGCTTGCCTGTCCAAAGTGGTTTGGGCTTGAGTATAGCAGGTTGAGGAACATGGCCATCCCATGTTGGCAGAAACATAAGCAGGTTCATCATTTCACCCTGAAATGAAGCACAATGATATAATGAGAAACTAAAGAATCCAGTCTCACAAGTTTCCACTGAACTAAAAAGCACTTTTACTTTGTTGTCCGGCATTATCGACACCTACCCTGTTAATGAAAACGTCTCTCTTGGTCATCTTTCGGACAGCAGTCAGTGTGTCCTGTACGATACCCATGACAGGCCTGTTGGACTGGGGAGTGATGATCATCCTTGGGACCAAAGCAAGGTTTGAGATCTCGGCCTTTGTTTCCAGGGACTGTGGTAAATGGAGATTCATCTCGTCCCCATCAAAGTCAGCATTGTAGGGTGTGGTTACACTGCACAAGAACAGAAACAACCCGCTACATTATTCACATATAAGGCAATAACATATATTTTGATTAAGAAATCTGCAAGCATTTTGCCAGCAGTTCACATGATCCAACATCTTGACCCACTATTTCTAGTGGAGGGAGGCATTTTTCTTTAATTTCCCTATGCTGCACATTTGTACTATCATTTTGTTCTCTCAATTAGGGCTATTCCAGTCAATATCTGTCTAATCTCAGGATTCCAAGTTTTGTTTAGGGGTGCCACCCATACAATAGAATTGATAATTTGCATTAAGTAATATGCATGGAAACTAGGTGGGGATAAAAGTGGTAACTTTCGAGTCCTCTATTGGAATAGCCCTTATATGATAAAGCTCTAAAATAATGCAAACTTTTAGTCGGGATTCTTTTATCAAAACAGCACTCTCAAAGCTCTCCATTCTATCATCTTTATTTTTGTTAAATAGCATACCCAACTGTACCAAAATCATGACATTACTGTTAGTATTGATTATTTTCATAACTTGCATTGTAGTGAATCAAACAAACAGAAAATACAGTAGCACTTTGGAACTTTTGAGGAATTGAGTGGGAGAAATTAATTTACTTGCAATTTTGACAAAAAGATTACCATAGCAGCAGCAGTATTTAACCAAGAAAACATCTGATTTATCATTGCAAAATATAATTTACCTGAGATTCAATCTGAAGGTTGACCATGGCAGCACCTTAACTCTGTGACACATCATACTCATTTTGTGGAGGGTTGGCTGTCTGTTAAACACCACATAGTCGTTATCCTGCATGTGTCTCTCAACCTAAATTAAAGTAAGATCATAGATCTAGATTTAATCTGCATTAACAAGCTTTGAAAATTGAAAGGAGCGTACAAGATACTTATGCACCATTCTTACAATCAAGAACTCAAGCAAGATCACTGACATCAAGGTTACAAAAAATCACCCAACATTCTGTCGTCATCGAGGAGCATTACCATACAAAGTTGTGTGACCCTAGCTCCTTAACTTAATCCCTAACTGATCTATAGAAATGTGAAGCTTGACCAAGGTCAGAGGTAACGGTCAAAGATAAAGGTCACATTTTTTTAATGTTGTAAAACACGCAGAACACATCAAGGCACAATCAAACAAGAGATGCTTAAAGATTTAACTAAAAAAAAAAAATCCACTTCCAACTTCTGCATCTTTTCAGTTAAAAACAAATGTTGTTACAGGTTACATGGGTGTACCATTCTTTAGGCCCCACGGCACATGTGGGGCTAGTGAAAGTTTTCAAATAGTTACCATGAAATATTGGTTTGGCAAGAAGAACTTTTCTAAATCAACCTGTAGGCTTGTATTCTAAATATGAAATTGTAAACCCCGAAATTGACATTGAAATATATTTCATGAGTGTTGTTCGCAGAAAATGCATTTCATAAGTGATTTGTTCTATTTGCAATATCAAATTTAACATATTTTGTTTTATATAGGAGTGAAATACAGGCTACGAATACAAAATATTCTCACCTTGTAACCAATCTGGAGATGGAGGTCACTGGCTTTGGGGTGAAATCTTAGGTCTATCCTCTCACCGTTGTCTCTTAGAATATATTTGGCTCCTGGGTACTGATTTGACCCTCTCCGCACAAGCTCGTGCATTCTGTAAGCAGAAACCAGTGTAACAGAGGTCATTATTTTTTTCAATGACTCCGCCATGAGTTGACTACGGCCCTCTGGATTACTAATCTTACGCTCTACCGAATTAGCTTTAGAGAAATTCTCTCTAGCCGAGTCAGTAGGAAGCGGCTAGTATTTTACCAGGGTGACAAAAGTTTCTCTCAAGCAAGTCAGGTACAGCATTCTTTTCTTTTCATTCTAGTCATGGTGGAAACTCAATAATTTCTGTCACTCTGCAATGAGTTATTCCATAATTTATTGTGCGAGGGTCTGGTGGAGGTAGGAAGTCGCCTGTATTAATATATTATGGGTAGTGGGATGTTATCCAGATTTCCCTACCGTTCCTTGTTTTGATTGATAATAGCATTTGATGGGTAAAGAATTGGGGGCCTCTGAAAAAGTGTGTTCTTCCACTCCATGGAGTTCAATCTCAAACAGCCCTGATAATTTCCTGAGTATATTTGGAATTTCTTTTTCAAATGTTCTGCTTGTCTACCAGAACTACTGGATATGCTTCATTTGAAATCAAAGTGTATTCTCAAGCAATGCCTGAACTCTAAACAGCTGGCTTTGTAAAAGAAAACTGATTTTCTAAATGGACCAAAATGTACAGTTGTAACATATATTCACATTTCCGAAAACAGTGACATAAGTATTCCATAACCATTAGGTCTCTGCTACCTGAACTGAAATTTTGTATGTAAAATAACTAGAAGTTTGTTCTTGCACGAGACATATCCTCAGAAAAAAATTAGAGTGTTTGACATAATATCATGAATTATCATAACAGAATTTCATCACAGGACATGTCTCATAACAAACTAGCTATTGACAATGAAGCACACACAAAATAATCCCTTACAAAGTTACAAGTGCCTCCTACCCTTTTTTGTGGTATAAGCATTCCTTCACCATAACTCACCTACTTTAAAAAAAAAAGAATGTTGGAAGGTTTTACAATCAGAAGATCTAGCATCTCTCATTGTTTCTTTTATATGGAAAAAAAAAGAAAATTTTCCATCTTGAAAGAGCTCACTTAATTGCCTATGTAGATAGCTAGAAAGTGTTCTGCCTTTTTGTTTCCGTTTTAACAAGTGTTTCCAAAGAAAAAATAAAAAAAGTTAGAGAAGGGCATTAAACTGGAATTCAGCCCGAATAGGACCAACCAAGTAAATTATTGGAATAATTACCTGTCTATGTTGAAGGGTGTGACTACCTCTGGAAATGTCATGTTCTGTGCTATACTTCTAGGCACCCCGACCTGGTCAATCCTGAGGTTTGGATCTGGGGTAATGACAGTTCTGGCAGAGAAGTCCACACGTTTCCCCATCAAGTTGCCTCGGACGCGTCCTTCCTTTCCCTTCAGCCTTTGTTTAACAGACTTCAGAGGTCGGCCCGACTTCTGTACAGCCTAAACATATATTTTTACATACAATAAATAAAGCCAGCTTTCATGACAACCCATCTAACATTGCCCATCTTTGCAACCATCAAGGATTTTCCCATGCATTTTGCAAATTCCAACCTCCACTATTTGTTAGGGATGTTAGGATTCTATTTATATTTTAAAGTAATTTTATGTCAAAGGAAATTTGGAAAGTCTTGTATCCCTGTCCCAACAAAACTTGAGAATTCCATCGTGACTTTTCATACTTACAGTATAATTTTACATATATTTAAGAGTCACTTGAGACAAAAGAAGTCCATTTTTTTTTTTTTAAATCTTTTGATAATGATTCTTAATCTTATTTTTAAACTATTTTCCTTTCATATCAATATCAGAACTGATTCTTTGGAAAATTTTAACTATTTTTTACAACAGATATCTGACAGAATCCATACAATATGAAAGCAGATAGACATCTTCAGCACAAAAACGATTCCTACCTTTGGAAGGCCAGGCATCTCATTGTCGATGAGTGTGGCCACGTGGAATTGTAGCATTTTTGTGTCCTCTGATATAATGTGTGCTGCTGCTCCATTCTGTTCATTCCTCTTCAACTGATTGTTGGCTTTGATAATGTCTGATAACTTGTGAGTCAAATCATCCTGAAACAAGGAAATCCTGAGTAAGAACATCTTCAGTTATATTTCAAATTCTTTTTTTATTTTAATGAATCGCCCATCAAAAATTTAATAAAGATCATGCTATATTTTTTTTAAATCAAGTAGGAACAGACTGTTTAATATTGAAATTGAGTAAGAAAAAACATTGTGTAAGAAAAAAATTGTGAAAAGACACAGGAAATATTTTTTTCTGCAATATTAGCTTCAAGATTTTTCATGAGTCTGTTCATATTTAAGAGAATTTTTTTCTCACTGAAATTTGCTCTCAAACAGCATAACAAATATTATGTTAAACAAAAACGAGTCGGCAGTCATTATATCTAACCATGCTGAACCAAAGACTTATTTCTACTTTCACTTTGGTCACTAATAGAGGTATTATCAGAGGCAAATCTAAGCTAGTGCCATTTTTTTTTTTAAACATGTTCTCAGAAAAAAATTAGAGTGTTTGAGGTAATATCATGTTATCAAAATATATATTTTCATCACAGAACATGTTTTCAGGATGTCTGACAACTATACAGTCAACTGTGAGATTAATCTGACTTTTAAAAACTAGCACAAGTCAAATATGATGAAATTCAAACAAACAAAAAGTACAAAGGGTATTGTTCTTAAATAGAAACTGTAAGGAAAAGTGACAAGCAAAGGGTCATTGGAAATCTCTTGGGACCAAAGTCCTCCTGGACCTCTCTTAAATGATCGGTGCCAGCAGGAGTTGACAGACAGATCCAAACTTTGCTTTTCTACAATCTAACCTGATTCCTGGCTGCACCAAACATGACCACAGCTGGCCTAACAGAGAGTGGTGGCACTGGCATCACTGTCACGATCATATAGTCAGGACGAGCATACTTGGGCTCCATTCCCATCACCAAACATTCTTCATCCGATATTCTCTTGAATATCTCGTGAACTCTCTCTGCCGTCAGCATGATCTTTCTCTCTTGACTCTCCTCATTTACATTTTTCCATTCAGCCACCAGTTCCAAACCTGTTCTTTTGATCCGAGGCTGAAAGCGCCCACAACCTCCATGGCCCTGTACACAATAGGATTCAACCCAGTTCAAATAAATATAGTACTTCATTAGTTAAACCACAATGAAAATTCAGAAGAAAAGATCAGTCAAATTAAAGGTTTCCCTTTTTTTTAACACATACAAAACATAGGATTTCTGAAGTCCTTCTTAATTCACTAAAAAAATGTAGTTATTAGTACTTTTTTTGCACTAAAAAAATGATACAATAATCCAAAATGTTTTATTTTAAGATTTTCTTGGTCACAATGATGCCAATGGCAGGAAAAAGTCCAAACTGGCTGGGAAGTATAATTTGAGCCAAGTTTACATAGATAGGGAAAAACTTCTTTTTCATACCGTTTTTTCTTCATCCCCCTCTCGTTTTTGTTGCTCTCCTAACTTTGTGTCCATTTCATCTCCTCCTTCACAGATCTTTTTGCCCTTACATAGCTCGTATACATGAGCCATCCTTTTTCTTGGCTGTCCCTTAGACTTGGTCAGAACATCTTTCATTTTGGGATTAGTCTGTTAACAACAAAGGTACATTTTAGTCGACTAACATAGCAATATGCATGAACATCTTCAAATACATTTTTCTAGTATATAAAATTTAAAACTATAATATGTATAAAATCAATAACAATATCTTATATTAATAAAATGGTCATGAATCAGAAGGGATTTGGTTTTGATTTTATAGGTTTTAATGTCACAGCTATGTCAGTTTGAGCCATGCCTCCATGCAAATAACGCATACATGTATGTGTGCTTCGGGTGTAAAGTTTGAGTATTTGCCTCAGATCTGATGAGGAATTCGGAATTCCTTAAATCCCAAACAATGCATTGGGTACAGTAGATTTATTGTGGTAGCTATTTTGTTCCCAATTATAGGACACAAATCCCAAATTCTGGAGGGGGTTCTAAAATTAGTGTCATCTTACAACATACTGTGGGTAACAGTAGGTATATTCTTTTCTCAATCCCAAACCTGCACAGGTGATCAGAATGGAAGTATTGAACATTATCTAGTAATAGAAGTATTGAACATTATCTAGTTATGGAAGTATTGACCAATATCTAGAAATGGAAGTATTGAACATTATCTGGTAATGGAAGTATTGACCAATAAATAGTAATGGAAGTATTGAACATTATCTGGTAATGGAAGTATTGAACATTATCTGGTAATGGAAGTATTGAACATTCTCTAGTAATGGAAGTATTGAACATCATCTAGTAATGGAAGTATTGACCAATAAATAGTAATGGAAGTATTGAACATCATCTAGTAATGGAAGTATTGACCAATAAATAGTAATGGAAGTATTTAACATTATCTAGTAATGGAAGAATTGAACATTATCTAGTAATGGAAATATTGAACATTCTCTAGTAATGGAAGTATTGAAAATTATCTAGTAATGGAAGTAATGACCAATAAATAGTAATGGAAGTATTTAACATTATCTAGTAATGGAAGAATTGAACATTATCTAGTAATGGAAATATTGAACATTCTCTAGTAATGGAAGTATTGAACATCATCTAGTAATGGAAGTATTGACCATTACCTAGTAATGGAAGTATTGAACATTCTCTAGTAATGGAAGTATTGAACATCATCTAGTAATGGAAGTATTGAAAATTATCTATTAATGGAAGTAATGACCAATAAATAGTAATGGAAGTATTGAACATCATCTAGTAATGGAAGTATTGACCATTACCTAGTAATGGAAGTATTGAACATTCTCTAGTAATGGAAGTATTGAACATCATCTAGTAATGGAAGTATTGACCATTACCTAGTAATGGAAGTATTGAACATCATCTAGTAATGGAAGTATTGAAAATTATCTAGTAATGGAAGTATCGAAAATTATCTAGTAATGGAAGTAATGACCAATAAATAGTAATGGAAGTATTGAACATTCTCTAGTAATGGAAGTATTGAACATCATCTAGTAATGGAAGTATTGAAAATTATCTAGTAATGGAAGTAATGACCAATAAATAGTAATGGAAGTATTTAACATTATCTAGTAATGGAAGGATTGAACATTATCTAGTAATGGAAGTGTTGAACATTATCTAGTAATGGAAGGATTGAACATTATCTAGTAATGGAAATATTGAACATTCTCTAGTAATGGAAGTATTGAACATCATCTAGTAATGGAAGTATTGAACATTCTCTAGTAATGGAAGTATTGAACATTATTTAGTAATGGAAGTATTGACCATTACCTAGTAATGGAAGTATTGAACATCATCTAGTAATGGAAGTATTGACCAATATCTAGAAATGGAAGTATTGAACATTATCTAGTAATGGAAGTATTGAACATTATCTAGCAAAGTAGTCTTACCGGGTCTGCCAACAATTTGGAGCAGAAGAAACACACACATCTCAGCACTTTGATCGTCTTTGTGAAGAAGCCAACATGAAAAACTGGTTTTGCCAATTCTATGTGACCAAAGTGACCTGGACATTCAGACATGCTGCCAGCACAAGTCTGACATCTGGCATTTCTGTCAATGGTTCCTTGTCTTGGGTCCATCAATCCATTTAGCTTGGGACGCCCGCCTTCCATCGTCTCGGAATATCGGATACCTCCATCAGTGACAGACATTCGTCGCTGCAAGACAGAAACTCCAGTTAATTAAACAGGATATCTGCAAGTTCAAATACACTTAACATTGTTCTTACACTTTCCCTCAAAATCCTGGTTATATGAGAAATTAGATACTGGTCAATAAAAGAGCCCAAAATTCATTTACTTGAACATGTTATTATTTGGCTAATCATGACAGAAGTCAAAATAAAAGTTTATCTCTCTTATTTGTTTTGGATATAACTTATGACCAAAATTTAAAACATGTTTGAAATTGCGATCATTTATTAGATGTCAGCTGTTTGAAAACATCATTCGTCAATTAACTTGTAAACTTATCTAGTATTTCAAGAACTTATTTTTAACAGTATTCTAATAAAAAGTCAGTTTTAACAGTTCAGCCTGCTATTGATAAACTCTGAACCATTTTTTGTTTTAATAACAGGTTTAATATATAAAATAAGGGAACATTCAATCAGCTCCCTTCATAAAGTCAACCATGCATCTGTTTTTAAAAATGAGAACACTGTCTACTACCAGAGTATTTATTCCATAGGTCTTATCTCCTGGGCCCGTATTCATGAAAGCCATCACATGCTCAAGCATGGATTTTGTGCTCAAGCCTAATTTCTTGTTTTAGTTATAAATTAATAAACAACTCTCATTTTGTCAATGATTTGGAAAAAAATTGAAGAGACTCAAAGCCAAATACTGTTTTCAATTTTCACATTTTACTTTTTAATGGTTTGAGATTATTTAAGGGAGTTACAAGAAAGAAGGTTTGAGTACAGAATCCATCCCTGCATATGGGAACAGTTTCATGAATACAGGCCCTGAGCACTGCACCTACCACTCGTTTATATCTGGTTTTCAAAGTCAAGTGTCAAATGTTGTATAGCAATTAATCAAGTATCTGTATATTCGTTCTGGCAGTGACTTAACTGATTGGTACCACAGAGCAAGGGAGATCATTATTTAATAAGAACTTGTACCAAGTCAACATAATGTGCGATCAACACAAAAGAATACAATGTTGCTGTTTTAGGTCTTTCAATCAAGACACAACCAAGGGATAAAAAAAGAAACAGGAATCGATCTAACCAAGTGCTTTGAATGTTTTTAAAAAACTGGTCCTTTAAATAATCCAGCAACATGTTACACTGTGAACCTATATATGTGGCAGATTCAAGAGAACTTGACTGTACAATTCATGTCGAGTGTTTCACTTGATAATGTAATTTTGTGTTTTCATTCTATCCTAATTTGACGACTGTTTGTGTTTTATTACTTTATTGTGATGTTTTCAGTTCGAACAGGTTACCAAGAGCATCAGTACTGAAATGCTTCTTAGATACAGGAAAACCTGGGTGCCAATATGTCTACAGATGAAACGATATAATTACTACATCTTATCTGGGGTTTAAAAAAACGAAATTGCACTATGTAACAATATTGCAACTGTAAAATTCCAAACTGTATTGTGAAGTTGATCGCATGTTGCCAGTCTTCTATTAATAAAACGGCATACATACAACAATACAGGATGGGGCATGGCATACATAACACATTGTTAATTACTGATTTGTTTTAAGCTTATCTTGTTCTCCAATCATTTTCACATTAATAATAACAACCCCATTTCCATTAACTATTTGTGTTGATTAAATTTATGTCATAAAACTAGTCAATCAAAATTACATAGATTTATTACAGTTCAGTAAAATGAATATTCATAAAGGACATACACATTCGTCGGGACTGAGAATGCCAAACTGGACTCTCTTCACGTCTCTCATAGTGGCGTTTGAATCGCCTGTGTACGCCATCTTTGTTGTGAAATATGGTTCTGGCGCACACTTATTTCTTCCGACCGATTACGATGAAGTAGAAAACAAATCTGAAATACAAAAAGCGCTCAACTTTGGCTAACGTCGTGCTTATTTTCACATGATGATAATCATGTTTCAATGCCTTGTCAGTTTTAGAAACAACTGATACAGCACACCATTTATTTCCGGAGAGTGCGTCTTGCTCTCGCGACTGAGCTTCAATTTCGCCGAATCGTCCCGTATTTATACTATTTTATGATTATGTGGGGTTCACAGCATTTCGCACAAGGGCTGTGGTCGACGGAACGCTTTATTTATTCATAGTTACCAATTAAGAAAATAAGCATAAAATAGATCAAGACTTGTCACGAGGAAATGACGTCACTAGACAAGATGATAAAATGTTGGAGAAAAACATCGTCTGCTGGATAACCGAACTACTGAACTGCTAACTCGGTAGTGAAGCGGACGTAAAACCTATCAATCAATCTGGAGAAAAACATTGACAAAGACCTCTTCATACTAAGTTGATTCCCTCCAACATTTTTGAAGCCCGAGTTTAACCATAATTCATAACGTTATGTTGATTTAGTCTATGCTGTAACGTTTAAATAATGCAATAGTCAAAAGTGTTTTTTTTTGTGTCATCCTTGTTGTTTGTGTTAGGCTGTTCCGATCTTTCGCGCTTCACACATTTGTTACTCAATTGATGCCTATGAATGACTTCATTTCACAACTATTTTAATTAAGCTGTGCGTTTTTATTCAGTAATGTCAGTTTTCCTATTTTGTCAGTATAATTTAACCTGCAGATACTTGGAAGGATCCAGTTTCAGTAGTCATAAGGTCTACCAACGATAACTAGTAACAAAATTGACGTCATGACAACACACGAAAATAAATCAACGTACAGTTGACAGATTTACAACTTGAATATACGTAGTCGGGACAACTTCGCCGCAGATGCTTTATCAGAGGCGTAATATATAATGTTATATATATACGTCTCTGCATGGCTTGATGGAACATTATATGACCCTGAGTTTGATGATAGGTTTTAAGTAGATACTGCAAAACGTTCAGGGTACACTTTAACAGATTTTTTTGTCTTTGTTCGCTTGCAAATCTTCAAATACATACAAAATGAAATGCGTGTACCCGCATTAAAAGACACTAGGAAAGCTACACGGTTGATCAAGTTTTTGTTAAAAGAGCGGTGCACGTGCATGGTCTGTTGTAAAAAATGGTTTATCGTCCAATAATACATGTACACGATAAATAACCAACACTAACAACACTATTCACTGTCTCGACCGCTTATTCTTATTACTCGAATAATTCCCGCCCTAGTTTATTCCCGCGGTTTCCGGATCCCCGTTGTGTACCCGCTTCGCCATTTAAGCATACGATTGAGTATTAGTCCAGGCAATCCAATTTAACCATTCAATATGGAAGCGTAGAATTGATGTTGATGAGTGTATTACTAAAGTTCGATGTAGTGAATAAAACTGAAAATACTTACCTGCCTTGATTATATTAGTATGTATCAGTGCAAATATATGATAAGAAATGGCAAACCCATTACAGCCATATTGGAATTTTTTTCCATGACCATTGCATCCAATCAAATCGTAACCTAATCTAAACGATTCATTATGTCCTAAAACCGTATAACAGCATTTTAAATAATTCAAATATCTCTTGTGATAGTGCCGGGAAATATGAGACATTATATTATTTATGGCGGCCATCTTGGATTTTTGCATATTTAACCTATTTCCGCAACAGTAATTTCTTAGGACTTTTAGTATGTTATTCAGGACACTTCATAGAAGACCTCTGTGCCCAAATAAATTCTGTTGCATTTTTTTCCATTTCAAAAGTTAGTTTGCCTGGACTATATAGTCAGTTGTTTTAATTTCAATTCGTTGTCAATTTATGTCGCCGCTATTCTTGGCATGGTGGCCAAACTAAATTTGTTTTCTAAAATTGTGGTTGCGCCGGTCATGTTGAATACTTTGCAAGGATGTATCACTGTCTATCAAACTGAATATCCATGATGTATTCAGTCTAAAACAATCTTTAGCTGAGTACGTATTTTTTCACAACCTCAAACTTTTAAAAAAGAGGGGCTTTAAACGTTGAAAACAATGATCTCTCTGACATTGAATATATACTGGTTTAAAGTTACCCATTTGAACCATCTTGACATATATACGAGCCATAAGTCTTTCATGTTGCTTTTTTGAAAAATAAAATTCGAGTACGTTTGACATCAAATTTAAAAACTTAACACCCTGTTATTATCCATCGCTTTTTTCTTATAAATTCCAGTGACTCTACTGCATGTGTTCCATTTAACATCAACCACAGGATGGCGGAAACTGCCTGGGAAGACACTAAGGTTTTTCAAATAGTCAAACCAATCGTTATAAATATTACCATATTCATCATGCACCTTCGATGTAGAAGAATTTCAAAACTATTTCATAATCTTCAAGTGCAATTAATGGCTTAAATTCAAATGCGTCCAACGAAACATAATAATATATATCAGAACAAATTCCAGTTTTGTTTCAAAATGTGATGACGAAAGAATTATGATTATAACATTAACGAGAAAATCCCATATTTCATCACAGGACGAATGGCCGTGTCAGGTTCTTTTCAAGGTTCAGCATCTTTTGCGCGCTTCAGTTTCCCAAGTGTTGATCACACGCACAAGTACAGTATAATTTGCCAACGATGCAGTCTGTGTTAATTCTGGGTTCTACATATATATCCTATTAGATATGTATTAATTTCTATTTTGTTTTTACGTCGACTCATGGAAGTGTTCTTCGTTTTTCTGTGCCTCGATAAAGGAGAAGAGTGCTCCGAAAAAATGACGGCCTCACATTGTCCACTACACGGCTGGAATCACCTAGCTGTTAGCTCCGATTGGCAAACAAATTAAACATTTAAGATGCTCAATATTGAAAACAAAAATTAAAAGACCTTATATCACTTTGCAATGTGTAATAATTTGAAAATGTCAGTGTATAGATTAATATATATTGACCAAATATACATTGGCCTTAAATACAGCCACAGAAAAAAGAAGCTGTGCGCATTATTTTGTTGTGTACTGACCATATCTTTAAAAACGAACCGTATTTCTGCGTTTCTTCTCTTTCTTTTTTGTTAATTATATATTTTGATTATAGTTCAGTTGTAAACAGTCTTGGATCAGTATATAATTACTAACACACATTCAACCCATGTAATAGCAAAGGAGTTGGAAACATATGAAGAGAAACAAGTTTTTTTAATTTTAATTCTAATTTATTCAGGTCATTTGTTCATGTCCTTTATCAAATGTTGTTTACGTACCAAATATCTTGTTGTTTACGTACCAAATATCTTTCTAGTTAAATTTCAAGTAAAACGACCGACGTAAAACTTAAACTGACCCTCACAGGACTTTTCTGGTATTTCAAAATTACATTGCACCATGTGAAAATTAGTTTATGTATTATCATTGTTGCAATAATAATACGTCTCTGGTTGTATGATTGTAAGTTTGCATTTTATCTAGATCTATATAAATTTGTAAATAAAATGTTATTTTCACCATGAATGTTTGTATAAATGCATGACATATATATGTGACCTTTTGTTCCACACATAGTATGGCTGGGTTTGAATAAAAATCTTGAAAATCTTGTGTATACGTTTCAGGCCGACCACGAACCTTCGAGACACTCGATTTACATTCTGAAAAGTACATGTATACGTCTCGGTAGGCCTATCGTTCGATCGTTCAGGCTGCTCTTGTTGTACCTTGTTTTTGTGATTTCTAATATCTTTCTTTACAATATATAGGTTATTACAATGTTTAATTTTAAGATTATAAAGGAAAACCTAAATTAAGTATATATATCAAGCAGGAAAATATGCAAAAGTGGTTGTAGCGTGTAGCACTGCAGTAACCCTACAATATACTTAGAGTTATCTCTCTTCGTTTCCTGTATTCTACTGCGTGCGCAGTCGATTAGTTACTTGTAGGAGAAATGTTGCAAAAGTGAATGAAAGATGCTGGACCTATGTGTCACCTATCAAGGTAAATAAAATGATCACATAATATGGGCAGTAAACTACTAAGAGATATGTACATATAGCTAAGTTTGGCATGGTATATGCTCAGTACAAAATTAGTTTTTAGGTATTCTTCAAGCTTTTGTAAACTTATCAACTTTTTTTCAATCAAAGCAAGTCACCTGTCAAGATTCACGTTAGTCTGCTACTGACTAAACTGTTTTGTATTTTTGAAGACCTTGCAAGCGCGTAACACATTATGAATTTTGAGTTTACTTAACACGACAAATATCATGCGAATTTGTACGTATACATGACCATGAAATTCAATTCCACCAAACATTGGTGCAAAACTAGGGACACATTTGAAGGCAGTAGACACAATCGTGTTCACTTTGATAGGATTCGGGTAATGCTGCAGTATATTACATAATTCAGTTTTTCGTGGGAAATTAGTTATTAACACAAATCAAAGGTTAAATGTTAAAGGTGGTTTGTTTCTTTCATTTACACGTTTGGAATTCCCACAATGTCAATGTTTTATATCACATTAATTTTATACTAGCGGAAAAAAGAAACTGTGCATGCGGAGAATAGTTATAGAACATGTATTACCAACTTTATATACATGAACATTCACACACATGACTGAGTATGACACATACACACTATCCGTGTGTCATTAACAGTTTGTCCCGTGGAGTTTGCTCTCTATAGGCGTTGACTAGTACTAATATTAATACCCGGCCTCCTCTGCTCCGGCCGGATATTAAATCGATCCCATGCCTTGTAATATAGCAAGCCTGGTGTGAATCACACCGGGGCGATTTTAGAATTGATTGACAATACATTGGTCCGCATCCATAAATAGGATTGAAGTATGAACCATTTCTGTTGATATCCTTCACAACTTGGATTTAAAATCTGCCTAAATGTTGTTAAATTATCAAGTTAACGTAGCAAGCGCAATTGAAATCTGAATTGACCGCCATGTTGGAAAGTTTGTCTCTCTTGACTTCTGATTTATGTCAGACGTCTAAATATGGGTGTCATGACCCAATATGGAAATCGTAGTAAACATGGAGGCATCAGTAGTAATACTATATTTGGCCATGCAGACCATATATAGAAAGGATAATTGAGATAACATCACGCATGATCTGTCATGGCGATGGTTTCTATTTTTTCCCAAAGATGAACTTGGTTAATTTCGTGAAAGAGTTTTTTTCATCGGTAAGGATTCGTTTTTTCAACAATTATGTAATATTTTGATAACATTATATTCATATGAGGCGTGAATTGTATGTTATCTTACAGATTAACACTTTCGATTTTGCTCCATTAGTTGGCATAAGACCGCTTCGTAGCTCTGACGAAGCAATATATAAAAAAAATCTCGTTGTCAGAAAGCTACGTTATCGAAGCTAGGCGTTGACCAGTTTGTACGTTTTTCTCGTCCAGCCAGCCAATTTGACAATGAAAGTTTATTTTTCAACTGTTGGGTCACTCTGTTGAGACCAGTGAACACTAAAAACAGCATTTTAACGTTTTGATTAGTGATTAATGCTATGCCGAGGCTCAATGAAAATGACCGCCCCCAGATTATTGCTATGCTTCAACCTGGTATGGGCCAAGCCGTTGTCTCTCCACGTTTTCATGTCCATCGAAACACAACCCTGGATTTGTGGAGACGACATCAACAGTTTGGCCACGTTGGCGATCGGCCTCATGCGGGATGTCCACATGTGACGTCAGTTCAACAGGACAACCATATTCGGCTTGTCCATTTGAGAAATCGCTTCCAAATGGCACATTTGACTGCACGGACAATCCCTGGTTTGACTGCACGGACAATCCCTGAGTTGCTACCAATAAGCCCGAGAACTGTACGGAACCTATTGCGTGAACGAGCTAGCCGTCTGCGACGTCCTACAATCCGCCCAGTTCTTTTGCCAAGTCATCGTGTAGCACGTCTGGACTGGTGCAGAAGGCATCTGCGATTTACTTGACGGGATTGTAGTGAAGGCCGTTCCAGAGTGTATGGTCGTGTTGGAGAACGTTTCCGTGACGTGTGTGGTACAACGACATTCTTTCGGCGGAGGCAGCGTTATGATTTGGGGCGGCATCCCAGCCAACGGGAGAACGCCTCTGGTGGTTGTTAACGGGAATTGGAATGCGCTACGTTACCGTGACGAGATCCTCCAGACCCACGTCGTTCCATTCGTGCAAGGGCAGCAACGTCGCATTACGCTACAGCAGGACAACTCCAGGCCACACACAGCTTGTGTCGCTATGGACTTTCTGGCCCAGCAGAACGTGAAATGTGTTGCCCTTGCCTGCTGTATCTCCCGATCTGTCGCCCATTGAACACGTCTGGGATGAAATGAAGCGCAGATTACGGGCATTACCTATTCAACCGGTGACGTTGGCTGATTTGGCTGCAGCGTTGTTACAGATCTGGAATGCCATCCAACAAGCATTCTTGAACCATCTGATAGGCTCCATGCGTCAACGTGCCAGGCTTGCATTCAGGCAAACGGTGGACATACAAGGTATTAACTTTGTGAACTCAGTATTGACCTCTGCTGTGGTTACGTCACTCCTGAGCGGAACTTATTAATTCCATAACGTTGAAAATGGAATGCAACTGTTAATAAATAACAAATAAATTGTCCCTGAAAACCTTGTTGTTCTACGTCATACACATTTATTTTCATAACACATTTTAGGCATGCACAGTTTCTTTTTTCCGCTAGTATATAACCGCATGGGTTCCTTACAAATGTCTTATAAATACACAACACATGTACATATGCTATACTGATATGGGTTACAACACGCCTAGTATGTATGCTTCAGGTACTTGAGCACCAGAAAATCTGGTTATAAAGCAAGATTTGGCTATTTAGTCAAATATGACTATACATACATGTATATACCTGGCAAAAGTAAACAAACACTGGTCGTTACTATCTCGTGCTTATCGATTGAAGTGTTCATCAAACAAGTGAGTTGGTGAAATGAAAGATTTTTATCTAAAAACTCTATTTACGGTGACTTTGTTGAATGTCACTGTTGCAATTCTTTTAATTGGTACTTGCATCCATTTATTCTCTCCCTCTGATGATCTGACAGGAATATTAGTGATTTCTGTACCAAAACACGAAATATTTCATTCTCTCTCGACACATGAACCACTTTCAATGTTATCGTTCTCTTCTGAAAGCAAACATCACCTGGGGCCGAATCTGCATCATCAGAATCTTATCTTTGCTAACACGAAGCAGACGCCATATTAAATAGACACACTATATATAGTATGTTACTAATAAGTGATGTATGTTGAGAGGGGAAAACGCAACAATGGAATTCAAACAAATGAATGAAAATTTTGTTTTTAGATGAAAATCTTTCATTTCACCGATCACATGTTTGGTCAATCAACACTTAAATTGATGTGCACAAGATAATTACGACCAGTACTGGCGTGTTTGTTTACATTTGCCCTATACATATGTATAGTCATATTTGACTATATAGCCAATCTAGCTATATAGCCAGATTTGCCGTTGCTTCAGTATCTGTGTTTAGGCGTGCTGTAACCCATATCGGTATAGCATATATGTATATGTAGACATTTGTAACATACCCATGGGCATTAACCTTACTGAGTAATTCATGAAATAATTGACTTTTTATCCGTAGCTGTATACCTAAGGAAAACATCTGTCCTCTCAGTGCAGCTGATATGGTCCCCAAGAACATGAGATCAACTGTGGCTGTCGGAAGATGACCGGTAACCGTGGTACAATAGAATTTCCCTGCGCAAGAGGACCATGGCAAGTGGTGCATGCTCTACTGGCAGACCTCAAAAACTTGTCTCAGGCTTTGCAGGGTGACCTGAAGGAGTTGTGTAAGGAACATCAGACCATTGTTGACATAAGCAATGGGTTAGGCGATACAGAGGAGACTCACTGGGGGGAGTGTGCTCTGTATGGATTGGTCAAGTACCTAAAAAAACAAGCCAGTAAAGAGGAACGACGTTTGTTCCTCCAATCCACTTTCCCCGCCATCATAGACCTGGCTTTGGACCATCCAAATGTCATACCACCACAGGGCATTGCTTACAGTAAACAACAGAAGGGTAAGTCAGGGAGTTGAACTGGTTGTCCAAGTTATTATTTCCATTCTACTATCCCCCCACCCCCCAACCCAGAAAAAATAATTAACGATTCATCTTTGAGATTGTTTTTTTAAATGATTTAAAGCAAATCAATTTATCACTATTAAAGCTGTACAAATTAAAAATTTTGAAGTGCAAAACTTATATAACTTTTAAGGCCACAGAAAGTTCCAATAATGAAGAGTCATAATGTTTTAAACTGTTTATTTCCAGAATATTGAATACTTGCCCCGGTTAAAACTTTTATAAATGTACTTAACATTTTACAACAAAATTTTGTTGGCTGTCATCATTATTGCTTTAAAAGTACAATGTCATTTATTTTGATGCAGCCAGTACCACAGTACTTAGTCGGAGGTGTGTTGCATCGATACTGGCCTGTGGATTTCTCTGTCTGTTTGAAGAGCGAGGCAAACCTTGGATAACACACCAATTAACCAATGTCATTAATTTCACCAATATTTTCAAAAATCTTCAAATGTGAGTGTTTTTTGATATTTTATGTTAAGGATGTTCCATACTTGAATGTCAGCATGAAGCAAAATTAAATGACATGGAAAGGTGTAGTGGGATGGGTTTTACTTAAACCCGGAAAGAAGGTCTAAATTTTATGATTTATATGAAGACTTTCAAAACTCTATGATTTTCTATGTCTATCTAATAATGATCTGCAAAATTGTGGCAAATTGTCATATGTTCCTGCAAAAGAAATCTAATTTGTGATATCAGTATACGTCTGAAACCTGATTCCACATTCTATCAGATGTTTTACTTTCAACAAGCTTGTTGAAATTAATTTTGAATTCAGTTCAAGTTATGGTTTCCATTCTATGGGTATCATATTTCAGGGCATCCCAGATCGCCAAGCTTCGATGCCTACTCAACTACTTTGAGCAAGTGGCAGAAAGAGGAAAGAACTTGACAGGAAATGTTACCTACGTACGACAGGTTGGTAAACTGAGGTGGTGTTACTACATTACAATGTCATGTATGCTACCAGATCTGCTTTGGGCCTAAATTGAAACTGACGGTTGGTTGTACAGTGTTTTAACTTAACGTCCTATCGACAGCTAATTTAAGGTCATTTAAGGACATGCCTCCATGTGTGTTATGTATGTGTGTCTGAGGCAGGGTATGTTGGTTTATTTGCCTCCTTGTGATAGTACAGATCTGATGTTATGACTTTATAGTGCTATCTCGCTGAAATACCATGCCTAAGGCACCCCGTCACATAACACTGACAACGGGTGAACCAGTTGAACATTAATCAGGGAATAACTACTGCCATTTTTAAGGACTTTGGTATGTCCCGGTCTTGGTACAGAACCCATTGCCTTGCTCACCTGGACGAATGTTCTGCATTAAAGCCAAAAGTGTGGTATATTGCCAAACAAGGCTCTAGGAAATAAAAGGTAGTTAGAAGTAGAGAGAAATATAAAGATACCAAACATTGCCATGTGTAGTCTTTTCTGGATCCCCAACCTGCAGGGGTGTACAAATGATGGACCAACTCACAAAATCACAATTTCTGTATCCGCTTTGGCTGGAAACAAAGAAGGTTACAGAATTGAGGCTTAAATTCATTGACACCGAATATTTAATTTTAGTACTCCCAAAATGAGAATGATTTGTTGAGATGTACACTTTAAACTGAAGAAAGTTTTCCACAGTTTCTTGCTAACCAACCTTTTATGGGGATAAAAATGTGTGGCAAAATCTCAAAATGTGCTTACAATGACGTTTTTTTGACAAAATAAAAGTGAAAAAATTATATTTCATATTGGAATAATGAAAGATGAAATTAACTCTAGTTGAACATACATTCTTACTGTACTCCAGAAAAGTTTCGCACAGACAAATATTCGCCCTTTGGAGATCAAATCCATGTTTGCCTATTGGTTATTTCGCTCTTCATGTGTAATTACTATATTGTGTGTTGTATACTTCTATATTATGCTGTTTTGATATATTCACTCGTTAGCAGTGAATGGCTAATGTCTCACAGAGCAAACATTCTTTGACGGCAGAATGTCAACTCTAAGAGAATAAGTTTGATGTAAAAAGATATTAAACTTCTGGTTTATTTATACAAGCTTTGATTACGTAAAGAGTATACTTTTCTCTCATTTCCCAGTGTGTAAGGTATAGCTGTCCAGGGAAAGAAAGGGGTGAAGGAAATTTCTATCTTACACCCCATTTCACGTGACATGATGTCACAATGGTTCAACAATGACGTGACGTCACAAACTTGGAACTCTCTGATGCCGCAATGCGGAAAAGGCGACATGATGAAATTAAAACCTTTTACTATATATATTTACTGTACACGTTAGAAAGATGTGATTAATGTTTCTGCACAAACATTATTCGCAAATATGGGATATGCTTAATCTGGCTGGCTGATTCGTTTTCGTCTAAAAAGCTCAGGGGGGAAATTGATATTTTCAAAATGGTGGCCAGCCCAAACGCATTTTCATGGTTTCTGGGCTTATTCTGGTGATTGGAATGAGAGAAAAAATACTCTTTCATGCCCAGGGGTGTAGGATAGGGACATTCCACCCCTCGGATTTTCAAATTTGAGACAAAGCGTCGGGTTTTACCTAATTTGAAAACCCATCGGGTGGAATTTCCCTATCCTACACCCCTGGGCATGAAAGAGTCTTATAATATTTGGTACACCAACATTATAAAATAGAATCTTGCAGGGATTAATTTCATCACTGGCTATCTGGCCCAGGCCAGTGATTTTTTTCTTTCTGTGGACCAGTTTATTTTGCAAACCCTCTATACCAGTGAATTTTCTTCTTACGTGGACTTCCAAATTGTGATTTAACACATTATCCTGAATATTTATAACTTAATTAAAATTAAAAAAACAAGTAACTTTCGTCAATGTTAAAAAAAAGAATTGGTTGAGCGTTTTGGCAACAAACTCAACTGGCCCAGGTCATTCATATTGTAAGCAAACCTTGAATGAGAGTTTTCATTATTGTACAGGTCATAACAAGAGAAGAAATGCCAACAATGGATTCTTGGTTAAACTGTGATCAAAGGCTTTGTCCACTGCGGGTGTATGAGGACGGTGTTATAGAAGATGCAGGCTGTGAAGCAGTAGAGGTAATAACTTCCCATTACAGTGTATTACTCCCTCTCTGGATATTGACTTACCTGTAATCAATACAATAATCAGAGGTCAGCAGGTCATTGTTGTCTGGATACCAGGTATATCAATAGAAATGTAAAGATCTCTATGTGCTCCTTTTTTTTATGACTAGTCTTCAACTGAGTGTGTGCTAATTATGTGCTGTGTGATTTAATTTTACTTTTGATCCTTGAATTTTGTTAACTTTTTGCGTGAAGGGGGAAATTTATTGTTCAAAATCATATTTCTGTATTGATAAAGGGATTTTAACCATTTGGTCTAGAGCATCAATAAGCCAACTCATAGTTGTGTATTAAAATCAAGATTTTGGCCTCTTTCGAGGCAGAGGGAGGGGGCCCAATACTGAAATAACACCGTAAATAATGTTATGGTCTTGTTGTTTTTAGGTTGACTTTGCCAACAAATACATAGGAGGTGGTGTTTTAGGAAGGGGTCGTGTCCAGGTACGTAACAAATATATATTAATAGAATTTCAATCTACACAAGAGGTTGGGCAGGTGACACCTCCCTTTTTATGTCCAATTAGGGAATCAAACCCTGGCTGCCTTGATGAAAGGCCAGTGCATTATCCACTGCACTTCCCAACCATCCAGATTTGGGTGGTTGGATTAAATAGGTCTTCACTGTAAATCAAATATTAACTGATTTGTTTTCAGTTTTCAAGAAAACACGTACCTGCTAATATGCTCTGAATTTGAAGCCACAAGTTTTAACCCTGAAAAATGAACTGACTAAATTGTTACCATTGGGTACATGAAATGATGTTGGAGTGTTTGGCAAGATCAGAACAAGATTTTATGTGTTGTTTCAGGAGGAGATTCGGTTTACTGTGTGTCCTGAAATGATTGCATCCATGCTGTTCATGGAGTGTATGGAGGAGAATGAAGCCATTATCATCAAGGGGTACGAGCAGTTCTCTGCCACCCAGGGGTATGCTGGAAGTCTGCTGTATGTGGGGCCACACTCGGACCCTGTCAGGGTAAGTTAAGGGTCAGAGGAGGATTTGTACCCTTTCAGGTAATTTGGAATCAGTAAGGGATTAGACTTCATTAGGGTTAGTTTGAGGTCATTAAAGGGCCATACCTTGTCAGGGTAAGTTTGAGGTCATTAAGGGGCCAGACCTTGTCAGGGTACGTTTAAGGTCATTAAGGGGCCAGACCTTGTCAGGGTAAGTTTGAGGTAATTAAGGAGCCAGACCTTGTCAGGGTAAGTTTGAGGTAATTAAGGAGCCAGACCTTGTCAGAGTAAGTTTGAGGTCATCAAGTGGCTAGACCTTGTCTGGGTAAGTTTGAGGTCATTCAGGGGCCAGACCTCGTCAGGGTACATTTAAGGTCATTAAGGAGCCAGACCTTGTCAGGGTAAGNTGTTTAAGGTCATTAAGGACCCAGACCTTGTCAGGGTATGTTTAAGGTTATTAAGGGGCCAGACCTTGTCAGGGTAAGTTTGAGGTCATTAAGGAGCCAGACCTTGTCAGGGTAAGTTTGAGGTCATTAAGGGGCCAGACCTTGTCAGGGTACGTTTAAGGTCGTTAAGGGGCCAGACCTTGTCAGGGTAAGTTTGAGGTCAATAAGGGGCCAGACCTTGTCAGGGTACGTTTAATGTCATTAAGAGGCCAGACCTTGTCAGGGTAAGTTTGAGGTCATTAAGGAGCCAGACCTTGTCAGGGTATGTTTAAGGTAATTAAGGGGCCAGACCTTGTCAGGGTAAGTTTGAAGTCATCAAGTGCCCAGACATGAGACCTTGTCAGGGTATTTGGGGTCAAGTAGAAGTCAGACCTTGTGAGAGCAATTTGGGGGTTAGTCCTTGTCATGGTAAGGAGGGGTCAATAAGAGGTCAGACCTTTTGGGGTTAAGTTTGAAGTCAATAACAATTGACTCCATCACTGTAAGTTGGGGGTCAATAAGTAGGTCAACCTTGTCAGGGTTAGTTGAGGGTCAGTTAGGGTTTTATATCATGTCATGGTAAAATGGGGATCAAAAAGGGGTCAGACCTTTTTGGGGTAAGTTTTAAGTCATTAAGGGGTCAGACTTTATCAGGGTAATTCAGAGGTCAGTAAGCGGTAAGACCTTGTCAGGGTAACTTTGAGGTCAGTAAAGATACGGATCATGCCAGGGTAAAATGGGGGTCAAGAAGGGGTCAGTCAGACTCTGTCAGTGTTTCATGAAATAAATAAGGTGAAAGCAAGTACATTTCGTATCTCTGTAATGCTAAATAAAGAAGGGTAGTAGATCAGATATGAGACTGAAGATTCTGCAAATGTAATGTATGTGTACATGTAAAAGTATATTGCCCGTGCACATAGAGATAGTAATAGAAACCAGACACAGTGTGGGGAACTGATAGTCTAATATTTGTTTGTGTACAGAGAGACGAGAATGGAGATCTGATGAGTACCCTGTGTGCCATTGATGCTGTTTCCTACAGGAACAACCAGCGAGAACAGTACAGCGACTACATGTGTGTGAGGGATCTCAACAAGGCCTATGTGGGGTTCAGTGCCAGATGTCTAAGAGGCCTGACACCACCCCGGGAAACTGGTGGACAGGCTGAACTTGATTCACCCTCGGACGACAAAGCAAGCACCCCAACAGATGAGGAGTACCTCACAGCCACTGACGAGGAAGGGGAGGATCACGGCGACCCCTGTAAGTTTGAGAAGGGTTGATATAATGTAAACAATTATGTTTTTGGCTTGGACACTTTCCATCCTCTGGCCTATTAAAACAAATGTGGAATATAGCGACATATTATTGGTTGAACGTGGCAAAAGTTAAAACAGAGTGACAATTGCTTGTTTTACAGTACTGTTGCAAAGGAATTTTTCTGGCAGTTTAAAAAATTTCATGTTAAAATAAATCTACAAATTTGTAAAGATAGATAAAGTTTCTGGTCAGGGAATTCTACAATGCCAGCAATCTGGGAATTGATATATTTATCTCTGCGTAAAGGTATTTTTAGATTAACGGGGTTGAAGGGCCAGCTTAAAAGCTAATGTAGCGGAGCAATGCCAGTTGCCCATCTGCCAAGCATCAACTTTTTACTTCAAATAACAAAGAGGGGACTAAGCAGTGTTCCAGCTACTGACAAAATAGAAAAAATAATTGTTGGCATGTAATACCAGCTTTTTTAACCCTTTCACCACTGTAGACCATAATAGACTCATCCAGATCAATGTATGGCAGAGTCTACTAAAGTTACCTAGAGGTGAAAGGGTTCAGGGCATTTGTTGACCTTGATCACCTTGGAACATCACAGGTGTGAAAGCACTAATTAACAGTTGAGCCAAACAGGCCTAGTTTCTTGTTCAAGTAAGGTGAACAAATTTGTTAAATGATGTGATGCACAGACCAAGAAGAGGATTCGGGGTGGTATTACCAGTTAGGTCTAATATTGTTATTTCAGTTTTGATGTCATTGTTATATTTTAGCATAAAATGAATATACTTTTCATTTGTATTCTAGATTTGAATACAGTTTCCAAATTTGCCGAGGGTCTCCTAGTTGATATACTTTCCTCAGCATTACTTGAGGCTTCAAGTCATATGAAAGGTCAAGGTCATGAATATCATGAATGCCAAGGTCAAGATGCCCAGCAGACACAGCAAATTAGTAATGACTCTATTTCTGTCAAGTTTGAAGGAGCGTCCGTTAAGTCTGATGATGATGTTCCACAGGAAGGCAGGGAAAACTTAGATGTGGACCTCTCTGATTGGGTATCTAGATTTAGGAGGCGGAGCTCCAATTTGAGTGACATTGGCTCACGCAGGAGTAGTACCGCTAGTACAAGACACAGCTCAGAATTCAGTTCTGAATTTGAAGAATTTTATGAAAACTTTCAAAAACGTGAACAACCAGTCATCCATAAAACCATAAAAGAAGAAAACTTTATAGATATAAATGAATTTGCTGTCAATTTAGCTGCAAAACTTTTGCATGAGGGAACCTTTTTGGCAGCTCATATTAAAAAACCAGGCATTCAAAACTTCCATTCTGATGCTCCAGACAAATCAATGATGAAACCTAAAGCAAGAAAGAAATCGGAGGAGAATACAGACAGTGATAATAGTGGAGTGGACAGTGATGTCTGTGACTCACAACCAACTCAAACCAACCAACATTCCATTGAACAGCCTAGCAAGAGGCTTCAACCCTCAGAGACAAAATGTGATATTTCAGAAGCTGCTGCAAGAAGATTTGCAGACAGTTTTATCAGGACACTTTTTCCATTCCCAGAACAGATTACCAGAGATTCCGACAAGCCAAGCTGTGATGAGGAAGTGAATGTCGGGGCATCGGGTAGCACTGGAGATACTAGTCTAAATGTGACTGTGGCTGGTAGGCTAGAGTCCAGTGCTACATCAGAATTATATACTGTGTACACATCTGATCTCTTAAAACAAGACATTTTAACTGAACAAAACAAAAGAAAGAAAAATGTTAACCTTAAGTCAAAAGACTCTGCGAGATCCTCACGCGAAAGAACGAGAGAAATGAAGATGATGGCCACAGATTTTGTTCATGGGGTTGTGATTGGAGCACTTCAAAAGTACTCTGAAGAAATAGACAGTGATCTCAGTATTCAGGATATAGACCATGATACATTTGATGATAGCGATTTGGATGACAATGTGACAGGACAGGATGAAGAGAGTGTTTATGAGTGTGATAGTGAGGGTAATGCAGGTAAAATATCGTTGTTGGAGCATCCGTCTGTTGTTGAACATGTAGTTGATAGTTATGAAAAAGTTGTTGACAGTTCTAATAGTGTTTTCTCCCTTGGAGAGAGTGCTAGTGTCTTTGATGCACGGAATCAGGAACAAAGACTGTTAGATGGGCATGAACAGGTTGCTGAAACTTCCATTCACAGTTGTGATACACCAGCTACTGTGGCTGATATTGCCCTTGAGGTTGAGAACTCTGACGAAAGTTGTAGAATACCACAGGTCATGGTCACTGACGAAAGCAGACGTGAACAAATGACAGAAGAACTTTATTTAAATGTTGCGGAAAGGATTGTACAGGACCAAGTTGCAAATGCACTGTTAGGTATGGCCTCCCTTAGTCATGAAAGTCAGTCGAATGACAACGGTGTTAAACCAAAAACTGAAAGAGTTCCAAGGAAAGGAAAGTTAAAACCAAAAACCAAGTCATCTGACAATGAACTGGAGCCGCCCCGAAACAAATACTGTGGTCATAGCAGCAACAGTAGTGGGAGTTGTCTGTCCTTGTCTCGTGATAACCACCGTGAACCACATGGGGAGGAGAAAGAACCACGGAAGGTGACATTCTTTGCCTCCTCCCTTTCTAGGGATCTCCTAACTAATGCCTTCGTGGAAGTTCAGCGAAATATGAATGGTGGTAACATCTTTCGCCGGAGTAGTGAACCTTTAAAAATTTCCAATCATGCAGCGAAATGCCTGATCGAGAATTCCACCAATGGGACCAATGGTAGGGGAGAGAAACACATGAGCTTGACGGATGAAGATGTTGGCAGGTTTGCACAGGAACTCAATAGGTGGGGATCCCTTGAGGAGTTCAGAGCACAGCTTCGTCGGGGCTCCTGTGGGTTTAGGGACCCAACTCTTTCTCGGTAAGATTATATACAGGATTCATCTTTTATTGGTAAAGACAGTGCAACATTCAAATGAAGGATCCACTTAAATTAAATGGTGCTATTTTTTGTTTAGGTATATCCACTTTTCTCTGCAAGAATTTAAAGAATTTCCACATAAGAAAGTTACTATTTACAGGACTCGCTGCGCATCAAAAATGAGATTTTCTTATCAGCTAGTACTCTACAACACTTAACATTTCCATGCTCCATTCATCTCCCCCCCCAAGATTCCCCACTCCACAAATAAAGTTACACTGTGTATCGGGTTGTAATTCTGTTCTCTATTAGGTTTGCAGAGCAGCTGATGAAGAGCGACTGTAAAATTCCCGACTTCCATCTCCTTGAATCCAGCAACTGGAGCACGAGTGGTGATTCCTCGGTCTCCTTTGTCAGCAATGTAAGTGGCTTCAAAGATGCAGTCTTGGCTGGATTTGAGGAGGAATTACTCACTGCAACCTGTAGCAAAGCCACTGTCCGAAGTCCAAAGTACACAAGGTAGGTGCTTGTTTTAAGGAAATGCATGCTAGGTGGCGATAAAGGCTCTTAAGAAATGTTATTTTAATGGCTATGTACTCCAACTATTTCTCAATCTCTTTTGAAATTTGATTTTGTACAAAACTTCTTTCCATCTCGGATCATAAACATCTTATGAAACTATTGGGTTTCTTCTTTTGTAAGAAATTACTTTTGACCTAGCACAACAATTCATATTGAAAATTCAATTTCAACCCTTACTGTGTTATCCATGGTCCATCTGTTGTCTGTTTGTCATCAACTTCTGAAAAGGAAAAGAGAGAAAAAAAATCTTCAAAAACATTTTCATTCCATACCAATGGATGGATTTTAATTTCTTTTGTTCTAAAGCATCTTTGGGCAAAGGGGACATAGTTTTGTATAAACTGAGGGTGTGGCCTGTCTGGAGCCCAATAGGGAAATAGAAAATCATCATTCTTCTTCAGTACGAATAAAGGAATTCAGCATCATTAGGGAAAGAGGACTCATTTTTTAAAATTTAAACTAAGGTTGTATCCCCCTTTTAGGGCAGAAAGGAGCCCAATAGGGGAAATATAACTGTTTTAAAATATTTTGTTCTAAAGAATCAGGCAAAGACAACTTAATTTTGAATTGATACTATAAACAGACCCACCCATGGAGACTAAGTCAAGATCCCCACGTCATAACCATAAACACAATTGCTGGGCATGAAGAATACACCTGTGTTCTCTGTGTGTTACCCACCCAAACAGATTAAGTCCTTCTTGCAGCTTGTATTTCTTGTACTCCTAGGCTTTTAAATCCAGAAGTCCAAGCTCATCACGGTGTCAAAAACTTATTCTCAATTGTCTGATAAAAGCCATGTCTTCATATTATTCCCTTTTAAGTGATTTGCTTCAGAAAAATGTTTTCTTATTTCAGGTTTGTGTGCAACAAGATGATTCCAAAATTAGTTAGACAGAAAAGCCTTGTAAAGGAGAAAGATAACGGAATAGTAGATCAAGTGGACACAGCCTTTGCTTTGAACGGAACCAGAGGTAAATCTTTTGACAGTGAAATATCTGGTTTATCCTGGGAGTCATTTCAGTCTTCAGCAAGTTATAGTAGCGACGAGTTCTCAAATTTCGTCGATAGGTTAGCTGAAAGAATTGTGCAAGAATCTTTTGAGACTCTTTTCCACATACAACCGGAGCCAGAACTTTGTCAGTCTGATACAGAATCGGAAACTGACGATCCTTGTATTCACGACTTTGCCAACAATATGGCTAATGACATACTTTTACAGTCTCTTGTGAGCCTTACCAATAGCTATGCTACGTATAGGAAGGAAAAGAAACGACTTTCTGATGCCAACACGTCCACAAGCAGTGATTCTGTGTCAGAGGTGGAATCAAGGACTTCCACAGATGCCGTGAGTGTTTCGAGTGTTCAGCGAAGCGTGTCTGATGATTACACTGATGCACTGGACATACCATTCCGTCAACTTGAGAATTATGCAGAGGAACTGGCAGCAAGTGTACTTCAACATTCTGTCAATGTTTACCAACGAGAACTAGACAGTGAGAAGAAGGTGAGTGTTTATGGTGAAACCTCTGTAATACCATGCACAACATAGGATTCACATGATAGGATGAATTAGGCGAATTGATTTATGTTGTCATTATACAGTGGGTATTTAATTTCACTATGTCTGTGTCTACGTCTTAAGATCAATAACATGACAGATTTAGACAACATAATTAGTTTGCTACTGGATAGCCTTGTACTATATCTGTCAGTCAGTGCGTAACTTTGTTTGGAGTATATCTCATACACTCTGTTACTTACAATTGCCAACTTTTGTATGCAAGCACCTATGGAGATAATGTTGCATACTGAAATCTGATCTATTAACAGAGTTATTGTCCTTTGTTTACTGTTAGTCACGTTGTCTGGAGCCTATCTCATTTACTTTATAGAATGAGATGTTTGTGGGTATTTTCCTTCTTAGTTTGAAGCTATTTGGATCATTTCCTGGTACAATTTTTGGTGGGGTTACCCCATATAAACAAACAGATGTCAAGTATATAGATTCAATTCGTATTTAATTTCATTAATTCCATAGCAAACAAGAAAACTCCAAATGTTTATATACAATAACAATTGGCAAATTCTATACGTAGGTGACTGCCTCATGAGATAGCAGTGGTTTGTATACTAAAACACGGTTTGGCATAATTAAATACGGTCTTGTAGTCCGTCATTTGCAGAGTTATAGTCCTTTTTGAACCGTACATCGCTTTGTTTGGGACATATCTGATACAATTTGTTGCCTACAATTGGCAAATTTTGTATAATTTACCTGCGATTATCTTACAAAAAGCATTTGAGTGAAACACTGAACATCTGTCTGCTTTAGCTGAAATGAATTTCTCCATGTCATAAAAACTTGTTGCCATATTACAGAGGGTGTATGGCCGTCCACTATCCACTGGGAACTGGGGGTGTGGTGCATTCCGTGGTGATTGTCACCTAAAGTCCATGCTACAGTGGATGGCAGCCTCGTATGCAGGGGTACCCAACATATTCTACTACACCTTCCAGCACCCAGATCTTGATCAGGTAAAGGTTTATTGTGTGGATAAGAATCAGGCAAATGTTTGTATTGCATACCTTACATACTGTTTTTCAAATTGTTGATTCAAGATCAGGTAAATGTTTGTTGTGTGAATAGGAATCAGGCAAATGTTTGTAAATTTGCATACCTTACATACTGTTCGTCAATTCAAGTAACTGGATCCAGATCAGGTAAATGTTTGTAATATGATGTTTAATTTCTCCATCACGTAATCAATATCATCCAATCAGACAAGCTTCTCGGTAGATAAGATACAATGGTAAGTAATATTCCTAATTTGACCTTGAATAAATGACAGTATTATTATTTTTATGTTTGAATGATATATATTTCCTTGCAGTTACAAGATGTTATTGACTCGATCATAAAGCGTGGCTGGAAGGTGGGACAGTTGATGGAGGCCATACGCTGCTACTGTGTAACTCTCCGAGATATGAAGGAGTCAGATGTCGAAAGGCCACCAAATCTATTCCAGCTGCTTCTGTCAGATGATGCCTTCCTAGATATCAATTGATCATGAATACTCCATGAGGGACAATCCCATTGGCTGTGTATTGTTTCTGCCTGTAGCAACATTGCATTACCAAGTATGGTGTAGCTTGTCAAACTAGCAACTTTGTTATGTTTATGTCAGGACTGAATGAGGTCAAAGTTCAACAATAGTAAAATGTGAGATATTCAGCTGCAAATGCTTATTCAGGATTGTGAATGTTTGATATTTTTTCTAGCAAGTATAAATACGGGTCCTCTGAAACTGTTATGAAAAATAGCAAAAGGTCAATGTTCAACACATCTTTCTATAGTCAGTTACCTGTACAAATGTATCAGAAGTCAGTTTATATTTGATCCATAAACACGAAACTGAAAACCAACGTAATATTGACTGAAGAATTGAAGCAAAGAAATGAAAGTGCCAAACAAAAGCACAGAACAAATAGATGTTTCACTAAACATATGTTATTGAACACACATTCAGTTGCTAACCTAGATGGGTGATAGAACTTTCGCCTGGAAAGTTTTAAAAGAAAAGGAGAAGTTTAATAGTATTTTGTCAATATTTATAACCATTAAGTATAAGTGCCATTTATATTTGCTTACTGTACTGCAAAAAAGTTGTTTCCTCTGTATATTTTCGATAATTGAATCATTAACCTAATTAGGTATCCTATCATTCACACAATATCAACCATGTTGCACTGAAAAATTCAAAAACCTAGGCAAGACACAAATCTTTCAACTGGATTGGTGAAAAGAAAGATTTATCATTTATTAATATGACATAAAACTTGTGTACATGTTATCACAATCACCACAATTTTTTATTATTATATTTTCAATGTTGCAATGAATATTTGAAAAAATCAAAAACCTAAGCAGACCTTTCTAATCATGTGTAAATAGAGCGGTTGAAAAGAAAACCTCATGAACATATTGAAAAGGAATGAAAAGTACATATATTTAAAATATTGAAATAGTTGCAATGTATTGATTTAAACATATTTAATTGTCACTTATACAGCAATAGGGTTTACTATTTAGTACAATTTATAACAAGGTTTAAAAAATATGGATAACTTGTATGTGTAGTAAAATAAGAACAAGGGAGATAAATGTGTTTGACACTGGTTCCTTTTTGAAGACAAATATTTACACTGTATTTAGGCAGATCTTTGCTAACCAGTTTAATATACAATGTATTTCATTGCTATTATGTTCTTTGAGGATCAGGGCATATAACAAGAAGAAGAAAAATCCTCTCTCAGCTCAATCAAAGCACATCTTTGAAATCCAAGGGTTCTATTCTTGATATATATATTTTCCAAGTTCTCTTGCAATATGTCAAGGAATAAAACAAAAGTTTACAGGCCATTACAGATGGCTGAGATGACAAGTCAGGGAAAGATTATGGAGTCCTGCATACCTGTGATAACTTTGACACAGGAAAACATGTGACAGAATAACAGTAGAATTGACTCTATTGTCACATTTGGGTAGCGTGGGTGTAACAGCCCAAAGGTGGTGAAGAAATATTCCACGATAAACAAACGCACTTGGACCTAAATGCAGGCAGAGCTACATGTAAAAAAGGCAGTTTCCGAGAATAAAAAAATATTATCAAGAATTATATGTCCTTCTTTCGTGCGTTCACTAAATTTTGTAATTTATCTTAAATTCTGAAGAATGAAATAAGGCAAACTACCAAAAGTCATCCTTTTAGTTTCGGTCAGGCACGGCTTGACCCCTCAATCTTAACGTGCCGAATATTTCTGAGGTCAGCCTCAGTTCAGATATGCGCCTGTCATTTTATTTCAGGTTCAGTTGAAAAACAGCTCCTCTGTAATCTTCAGAAAAGGCGGGGTCAGGTTAGCAGTTAATTGTTTAAAGTTTCAACCAATCTAAGGGTGACCCCTGGATTTTGTCCTAATATGTTCTTATGGTGTGCAGAAGATATGTGTATCGATTGGAACCCTTGGGTATCAAAGATAACCGCAGTCAAAGGCTTTTATAGGTGATTCAAATGATAATGATGAAAGCTTGGTCCTGTTTTCATAAAAAAAACCTGTAGAATAGATATCTACTTATCATTATGAGTATGTAAACATATACATTGTGCATATTATTGGTGTGCAATAACATCACTTGAATGAGAATACATATATAATGTATCTATAATCATTTTTCAAGTATTGTAATCACTCTTCCAAACAAAGTTTATTCACCAGTATTTTTCCGTCTTTGCGTATTGCAGAGTTATCTTCTCTTGGGAGCAGGTATTGATTGTTACGTCACTTATTTGTGAGAGTAACGTCATCAATTTTTGAGAAAACGACGCAATTTTCTCACACAAACCAATGACGTAACAATCAATACCTGCTCCCAAGAGACGATAACTCTGCAATACGCAAAGACGGAATAGTCACCTATTTCAATAGTAAAACATTATAAAATATATTAATAATAATATTGAATATATAATCTGTTTTAAATTGAATATAAACATGTTATATTTGCGTGACTTAGGGATGGTGATTATGGCATCTTATTCAGTATTGTTTGGGCTATTGTCGATATGATGAAATATAAAATAACCATAATTAAGTGTTTTTATATAAGTTTTGCATGGCTGGACCTCAGTTCAACTTTGTAGATTTGGAAGAAAATCGTGTTATTGGTACAAATTCTACATCATATTAAGACAAATCCATGAACGATATAAGTAAAACTCATTATTATGTTCAACTCAAATGGTACTTTATTTACCTGTTATCATTTACTGTAAAAGTGGAAATTTCCACATCGTGCTGTGACTCTTTACTAACTTATTATGGTGTGGGTCGCATTGGCAATGGTTCAGAGATCTATATTTCCACATACCCATAATCTATAAATGAATAACTGCATTTGGATATTTCCATGCTTATTTACTCAATGTAAAATACACTAGCAGTTCCACACCATGAACATTTCCACTTTTACCGTTTATCTCAACCCTTTGGTTGAAGTTCTTAAGGGAGTCAAATATGTATCTAGTTTATTCCTGATGTAATTTAAACCATTAAAGTTAAATAGAATTTCAATCACCTCAATTTTGTTTTCACATACCAAATTAAAAAATGATGTATTCTTTGTAATTTTACCCCTTTAGATTTCAAACAACAACTTTCAATGAAAAATATATATGTTTTGAATTTTTTTATTGTTACAGTTTATAATTAATACATTGAAGAAAATGTGTTTTTAGATTAAATAAATGTTGTGATCAGTAAGGATATAAGTCAATACCACAGCCATAATGAAGAGGTGTATATTAGAATGGGAAATCAGATCTTGAATACATGTATTTGAAAAGTTTAGAGGTACACCAATAGATTCTAAATATTGGTTTAGCACCACGTGAAAATATTAATGATTTTGATTTGTTGAATACTCATTGAATTGGTAATTGATAACATCATGACAAAATGTTTAGAATTGTGATCAATTATGTTATATGGCAACTGTGATTTAAATAAATATATGTTTTGAGTCCATTTCAATCATAAGCATATTTATATTCCATATTAAGGTAACAAAACCATTAGCATTCAGTTGTATGTATGCTACCTTACATATTAAATATTTTCTCCCTTAAGGGTATATAATACCTTGCAAATTATATTATTTGTGTAAAAGTTAACTCCCTTAAGGCATATTATGCTACCTTGTGCATTATACCTGTAATTTGTGTTTGTGGTGTATCTCCTAAAACAAGAGTTCAATTTTTTTTAGCATTTGTCTAATTCGGCATTGCTTGCCTTTTCACTATAGTGAACAGCAATATACAAAAGAAATAATTTTATTTCAAATTTCTATTTCACAAAAACATATCTTCCTCTCAGATTTGATCTGCCGGCCTTTGATTATAAAACAAGGAGCCTAAAATTAATGGAAATTATTTCAATATGTCCAGTAATATAAAGGCCTACAGCCTATCATTACAGGGAAATAACTTTAGAACTATATATCACAAGAATGTGGTGGGACTCGGGTTGTCTATGATCTATTATCTTAAAATAACCTAAATGCATAATTGGTTACACTCTTATGTACCCTTTGAATGTTAAATTGAGTCAAGATTACCCTTCATAAAACTTATTTTACTGGCATTTTAGACACCACATACAAAACATGAATAGTCAATATGGTAAGGATATGTCTATCCTTCAGTAAGACATATACTGTTTTTATTTCACATCATAATTCTATTTAACATACCTGTGATATGTATTCTAGCTTCCAACAATGCCAGACCAAGACCTGTAACAAACTCCTAAATAATGTACTGCATGAACAACAGCCTATCATACCTTGTACAGGATCTGTGATGTAGTGACTCCATGTAAATGACACTGATGTTTGCTTCATTCAAAATCAACTTTAGTTTGATCTGTTTACAACAGATTGAGCGATTAGAAAAAAATCAGTACAAGTAGTATTTAGTGACACCTAAATTCTTTGTTACAAAAGTGTTTGTATTCATTGAAAAATTCCTATGAGACAAGATTTTGAAGACACTGATCAGCATTGCTTGTCACTTCATTTCATCATACTCTGGTCTGATGTTACTGTACCAACACATATTGATTTATACATTTTATCATAATGTGTATTTAGTGTATTACAATATATTCTCGTACAGATTTCAATACCAATACTCTCCATTACTGATCACAAACCGTAATGCCTAATGATGATGTCAATGCTGCTTTGTTTTGTATATGTAGTCTTTAGTAAAATTTCACAATAATTTGGACACTCAATTACCCAGCTGGGAACAAGTCTTAACTGATCTAGACAATTCAGGAATCTCAGAAGTAAGGCCAGACTAATTCAAACATGCACTTCATTTCCCAGAAAAGAAGTCCAAAACGATTTAAGAGATGGAAAATGAATAGGAAAATTTGCTATCTTGAAAATAAATACAAAAGATCTAGACACAACAGTACCTGAATATTTTGGGGACTCTAAAAATATACCCAGATTATTGTTTAATGTTTTGGATTATATCAAATTAACTCCATGCCTGAACACCTGTGTCCATAAAGTGAGTTTTCTGGAAATTTGGAGTCTGAATTACTGAGGTGCCGTTATATTTGAGTTGAATTTGTTTGATTATTGAATTTGCATTTGTAGTTTATCAGATTGTGTTAACTGCTTGTTGCTGTGTTTGTGTATACCAGTAATTTGGAGGCACGGTAGTCTAGTGGTAGGTCGCCAGGCTTGTGACCGAAGGGTTGCAGGTTCGAGCCACGGCACGGCACTGTTTTGTATCTTTGAGCAAGATACTTTACTCCACTTGTTCCAGTCTACTCAGCTGTAAATGAGAAGGTGGTTGGGCAGTGCTAGAATTGTTGTACGCTGTGAGCGTCGAAATGGAATTGAATCCATAATATTGAATCAGTGTTATGTCAAAACAGTGGCAGTAAAGAAATTTGCCTTTTTTTCTTAAAAACAAATGTTGAAAAAATATCAATATTGAGTAAAATTTCTGAACAAATTGTTTTAGTTACTTATTATAAATCAAAGTCAAAGTGCTATTTGTAGCTCCAGTTAAAAAATTATTTGATCAAAAATTATTTATTTATTTGAAAAATAATGAAAATACCTAGAAGTTGAAAGATCTTAAAAATGTGTTGCCTATCAATGTTTAATTAATCTTTAATTTGCATTAAATAATTTTTGTCATCAATCAAAAAATGGAAATGTCTAGTCTGTTTGTTTTGATGTGACAGGCATGTGTGCAGGGAAACTTGTTTTAATTTGTACATTCAAGCCCCTATGTTCTGTGGGACC